CAGGCTGGACACGGCTGTGTGCACCGCGTTGCGAAACATTGAAACGAATTCTGGTGGCTTATGCACGTGCAAGACTTGTGGCTTAGCAAACATCACAGAACCGCAACCAAGCCTCCGCAGATTTACCAAGAGTTGGAGAGTTGAGACCCGCAACGTGCAAGTGCCGCCTTGCCTTCTCGAATTTCGAAAAGGCAAGGAAAGTGAGGTGAAAAAAGACTTTCGAAGTGAAAGCGGGTATTCGAAATGGCGACGAGATGATGACTTCGAATGTCTCTTCGTCTTAATTGTAGTGGGTTTGTATTTTTCGCCGCTTCCGCCAGCGCAAGATGATCAGGACGACCGTGCACCGTGTGTCGTAGGCGTGCTGTCAAGATGATCAGGACAACCGTGCACCGTGTGTCGTAGGCGTGCTGTCATGATAATGTCCTACAACATCTGATAAACACAGCCCTCCGACGGTCCGGGCGCCGTGATGCGGCATGCTCAAGTCAACTGTTTGGCTGCTTTCCAAGCAGAAGCTGTTGGTACATCTCTGGAGTCATACTCAGCCGGCACCCATCAAAGTATTTCAGCAGCTACTTCCAGGCCATAGCGTGATGTTATCATAGACCCTTTCTTCGTTTATTATGACATTGAATTTAATTGCCACCAAGCATGCAGTTTGCTTGGATCCTTATGCTCCATGATTGGTTTATTGTATGATGGGGTACAGGTGCACCATGCCAGGTCTACCCATGTTGTGCTTTGGGACGTTTGCTACGTCACAGCCTGACGTGGTCTGATCCGAAATGACCCGAGCGTCAGCGGCAGCAGATGCCAGTCTTTGGGCTCATTTTCAGCCGAGTGGGCTGATTTGATGTCAGTGATGTCTTAATCAGCAGCTTTGACATAGATGCCATTTGGAAAGTCAAGCACTGTTTCACATGACGTTTGCTACGTAACCATTGTTTACAATATTCCGAAGTAAGGAAATACCTTCCCAAGTGGAATGCGTTAATCGCCTAGAGTAAACTAACTAACGGAATACCGCATGGAGTCTCGATTAGTCATGAGTTCACGGTCACAGCCATAAAGTGAGAGATATTGTTAATTATATTTATATATACATATATATATATATATATGTATATATATATGATATATATATATATATATATATATATATATATATATATATATATATATATGCATTTAAACGGCGCTGATGTGCATACTCTTATATTTCATCACTTTTGTTTTAACTTTTATACGCAAATTTCCGTTCATTTCTAAATAAAAATATCATGCCAAACAAAAGCCACCTCAGGACACTATATCTGCCAATCAATGTAGCTAAGCTGAGAACGGTGAAGTGTGAGACGTATATCGTATCCTCATAAACTTGTTGCTCATGACTGTGACAAAGCTGCAACCCGTAAAGATAAGATGAAAGGAGGCGCTGCTGCTGGTTGTTTGATGCTGGTGAACGGAGAAGCACCGCCCATTAATAGAAGACGTGGGCGTAATCCCAGGCACAGCACTAGAGGATATGGCCCGCAAAATGGTAATATCTGCTCCTGCACAGGGTTCGAGGCTCCTGACGCTCTTGTCGCCATTGACCTGGGCCACGTAGTCACGACGGCAGGCGACAGCGAGCGCTCGTTTCACAGTGATGTTCCGCACCGAATGGTTGGCTTTACGGCTTGAAACGCCGGCTGGCACACTTCCCATTTCAGCATGGTGCTGATGAAACATGCGTCCAGCGGGCCACACAGAAACTAGACCAGGTCTACAGATAATTTCTGGCGGCTCACAGCTTAAAGGAATGGACCGCTGGGCTCGAGCAAAAGGTTCCTCTAGGAACATTTTATATATTCGGTGTGCTCGTCTCAGTGTCGTCTCTAGTTTTAGTCTCTCATTAGAATGCAAGTACTCTATCCCATTTTCGTCCGCCTGCGGCTTCATATCACTCCATAGGATTTGCCTGCTTTCTGGCCCTTCCAAACGATCAAACAGCTTCATGGTTAACAACCAGAACGCTCTCAACGGAGGCATCGGAGTTGGATAACCAAGCTGTCTGATTTGATGTAATTTGGGGTCTTCTTGTTTGGTAGTTGGCGTGGAGTGATTTGGCTTATATCTTTACCGTTCGCATTGCATTCAAAACTTTCAGTTCAGCACGCTTTACCTCTTGCGTTCTCTAAAATTTGGAAGCTACCTGGGTATCCAACGTTGTCTTAAATAAAGCGGCTCACCACATCCACGAAATTGCAAATGGTGCACGTTCCATGACGTCCGTTAGACGCTAAAGAAAGTTTAGCCATTCTCTTTGCATCGCTGGCCGCGCGTACAACTGACTGGAGTCGTACTTGAGCAATCGTTCAAGCACGTAATGCTGAACGGCAACCAGTCTGACTGGATTCCAGCGCGATCTAGTGTCCTGGAAGGCAGCATCCTGCGACCGATGTTGTCCGTCTGCTTGCTGGCTGATGTTCCTGACCAGATTTAAATCGAGTGCCTTGTGTATGCTGATGATGTGAAATTTTATCACCGAATCGACAACGTAGCAGATTGTCTCACACTTCAGGCGGATTTGGATCGCCTCTGTGAATGGCCCAAACACTAGGGACTGAAAATGGACCAAGCTAAGTGCAAAACCATCTCATTCACCCTCCGTGCGTCACCTGTTCACACTACTCATATGCGCTAGATGGTCACTGCTTGGATACCTGCCAGTAGCAGATTCGTGATATTGACGTCCTCCTGGATACCAAACTCACGTTTGCCAGTCACATAGATGCGACTGTCTCAAGGATAAACATGACGCTGGGCCTTCTCATGGAAAGCGTGCAAATGCCGTCGTGGCCTCGTCAAGCGCGATCAATCATAAGGCTTTGTTGTGTGCCTTCAACGCTCATGTAAGATCGTTGATGAGTACGGCAGCGTTATTTGGAACCGTGCTGCCGTTTCACACCTCGCCGGTTTGAAAGGCATCTCAGGTTTCTCAAGTGGTTAGATTCGAGTACCTAGTACCGGTGTCCTCCACTGTATTAAGAGCAGCTTCCCGCTTATTTCAGTATATATCAAGTATAACAGTATATCAACAGTGCAACAGCATCTATCAAGTGTTTCAGTAAAATATCTAGCATAACAGTATCTATCAAGGCACGCATTACTCTGGCCGACACAACATTTTCATACAATGAGTATCACCTCAGGCCTGAATGCGCTCACGTGCCATCATTGTTTGGTCTGGCTACACCCGTCCGGCAGTCTCGGCAAACCGGGCCTTTCCACGAGCCATTTGCAAGGGCCAACATTGTTTAAAACAGATTTGGCACACGTCTATCCATTGCCCGCAAACGTTTTCTACCGTGTTCCCCTCAGCCGACTTTTTCCACCCAACAAAATCATTCTGGTCTGATTTGTTCAGTTTGACGGCACTGATGGTGCGTTCTTTTGATGACCGTTGTGTCCGAGTGTGCAAGGTGTATGTGTGAATGTGTGTAATGTGGATGCGTGTGATTAGGTGTTTTGTTTGTGTGTGCATCGTGCATTTATTGTTTTTAAAACTGCACTGCGCCCGCAATGGGCTTATACCTGTGGATTGCTTACTGCCTAACTAAACAAACAATAAACAACTGTCTCTGTCCTGCTTTTTATCATTGATAAGAAAACAGCAAAACAAGCCTTTTAGCTTTTACTTGTTCATGTCTGATATGTCACATTGATTGTCCATTTAGTTCATGGGGTCACGAGGATTGATGTGACGGTGACGCCCTGTCATCCATTCAGTGGCCATGGGGTCACACTAATACAAAGACGTCATCAATTCCTGTCGAATCAGACGGCTCCCTGCACACCTCGCGCCGCACCTCCCAAGCCAACCCTACAGGCAAACGATGACGTCACGGGACCACGGGACTTCGCGGTCGAGTCACCGGATTACCGTTCCTGGAAAAAAGGGCCTTGGATCGAGTAACCGTGGTAACGGTGTTTTCAAACTTGCTGCACTTGTCGTGATCGTGCAGTAACTTCGACAGCACCTGAACCGCAAATATTCACTTCCCACCATCGTTCTGCAAATGTGAACACATGCAGATTCAGAACCACACCACAAGAAGAAACAGCGTGCATGATACCAAGACGAGCGGGATTTTTTGTATTTCCTCCGCGACGCTCCTGAGAAACACATCAAAGCTCGCTGGTAGACTGCCATCGAAAGTTGAAGTTCATTGGCTGGGTGCAAAATGTTACAAAATTAGTTGTCCGGATGTCATGATGATTTCCTAAATGGTTTGGAGCTGGAAAACACACTTTAAGAAAAAGAAGTAAGAAATGAGAGGAATCTGCCGCCCTGACGAGAGCAAGTGTCGCTGAGATTTATTTCAGCGTGATCTGACTGAGCTGCATTGAATGTGAATAGTTCTCAGTCGCAGTTCCCATTCTTTAAAAACGCTTCGCCAGATCCGGTTCCCATATTTTTGCATCAGTTTCGTGGTTTTGCCTCCACTCGCCGGCGCGGCCTGGCTGCTCACGCGGGGCAAGTAGCCCGGTGAGGGTACCGTGTCAAATAGCACCACGGGGCTTTCACCGACGTCATGTATCGCATGAAACGCACAGCAGAGTTCGCTCGAGACTGCAGACAGTTTGGCGTTTTGGCCCGCTGACCGGTACTTCAGCCGGCCGAGAAGTAGACGGACCACCTGTCTGTGCGGAAGGCGCCAACTTCCGCGGTACCGCAAATCCACGGGTCAGGCCACAATTTACTCTGTGTACATTAGCCCACTTTATTCCGAACGTACACTGGCTCGCCCCCATAACATGCTGTTTCCGCACGCCTTGCACGACTACCAGCTTTAAGAGAAGCATTGGCTACTTCGGCGGTCATGACAATCACTAGGAGCAAAGGCCGCCTAGAGCGGGCCTTGCCGTCTCACGGCAGGTAATGGTCTGAGTCATTCGGCTCCAGAGAGAACAGGCCGGGAAAAAGTGGGCACCAGCGAGTGGCTCTTGCACACTCACTGCGTGCTCATCATCAGTGGCGTGGCCAGAATTTCGATCAGAAGCTGGGCAAATCGGGCAACAGGGAGCTTTCAGTCAAGGGGCTGCTCATTGTCGTCATAATCGCCGAGTTTTTTTTTAAAATCAGGAGACGTGTTAGTCTCAACATCTCATTGATGCAGCAGGGACTGATTCTGAATGTTTGGAAGCCCCACGGGCGTCTTGAACTGCCAGAACGCACTGTGTCCTTCAGCCCTGGAGAGCCCTACCACCTGTGTTTGTGTTGGGGGGTGGGGGGGGGGGTGGGGTGGGGTGGGGGGGGTGGGGGGGGGTGGGGGGGCATGGCTCTTGAGGCCTTTCCCCTTGGCTGCGCCACTTCTTGTCCTTGACCTTCGTCGACCTCACCGTGTTACCAAGGTAAGCCGCCAAGCCGTCTTAAACATTCGTCGCGGAACCGGCCATTTCCTCCGACGTAAATTCCGCCGTCTGGTGTATAAATCAAACCCTAAAAACAGGCAAACAAAAGGCCTGACGGGATGTGACGTCATCAGACTCCGCTGCTGTGGTGCAGAGCTGCGCTGCCTGGCTAGGTCACCGGGACTGGTGACATCATCAGACTCCGCTCCTGTGCTGCGCTGCCTGGCTAGGTCACCGGGACTGGTGACGTCATCAGACTCCGCTGCTGTGGTGCAGAGCTGCGCTGCCTGGCTAGGTCACCGGGACTGGTGACGTCATCAGACTCCGCTGCTGTGGTGCAGAGCTGCGCTGCCCGGCTAGGTCACCGGGACTGGTGGCACCTGTCAGGTCGTGACGACCGCCGGCCTGCCATGCGGAGCGACCCTACGCCTGACTAGCCGGCCAGTGTCAATGAGACTGGTCGACGCTGGCTTCACCCGACTCCAGCGTCTAATGTTGCGACGCGCTCTACATACGACAGCGGCTGGCTGATGCGGCGCGGTGAGCGAGGCGGCAGATCCGCCGCTGAACGACCGCGTTCTGACACGGCACGAGGTGCGGCAGCCCACGAGACCGCGAGCCCGCTCCGACCGCAGCGGCGCCCCGGCAGCCCACGAGACCGCCCGACCGCAGCGCTGAATCAGCGCCATTCCGGCGCGTTAGCCGCGGCCCGCTGCGAGGCCCAGTTCCAGGACCTGGAGTTTGATCGGTGACGGGGCGCCGTGACGACGGTCACGCGACACAGCTGGACGGGTCGCAAACAGGAACCGGCACCATGCGCGGCGCAGTGGCGAGCGGATGTGGAATACACCCACGTGTCGCACCTGTGCCAGCTGTTTACTTCTATACGTGCTGTATACCATAGTGGAGCGCGCAACATGCTCCCGTCTGCACTCTCGTCGAAAGCGTATTAATGTGTGCCTGTTTTTCAGTGAAAGGCGCCGAGCCCCAGCACAACCCTGGGATGCAGAATCCAGGACCTAGCGCACTTTTAGCAGGCCTCCATGTCCTATAACGTCATTGTCTATAAGCAAGCATGCCTGCAGATAATGACCGGAAAGCGTTATTTCTCGGTTCCCACAGCTGATTCATTTGCCACCAAACGTGAATAGCTGCGGGAATGAATCAAAACTAAATGCCTTCGGTCTGGCGGGATTATCGGAACTCGTCCTTCACTGTCTTACTTGCAAACGCACGCGTAGAACAGGTAATGCATTTTACACGGTATCATAGACTAGCGTGTTCGTAGGCTGACGATGCAGGCACATGCGATTGAGCAATATCACGCGACGACATGCGGAAGCACTTCAAGGACACACAAACGCTCTTAACAATTAACACAAGCAGAGGCCCGCACTGAGGCTTCGGGCGCGACTGACTGCGAGCCTCGGCCGGTCACCGGGAGATAACATGGTAAATCAACGTGAGAACTTGTGATTTGACCACCACGCCCTGTTCTCAGGCATTCACCGCAGCGACGCGTACCACGTTTGAATCACACACGCGCCACAATAGAATCCGCTCGCGGTCCAGGGCCGCTCCGCTCACGCACAAGGCGAGTACAAAATGTAAAGCATGATAAACGAAGTGTTTGTGAGACGCATGCCCACGCTGACATCGAACCCGTCTCTTCCCGTCCCACGGCACCGCACGCCAGAGTACGCCTCCGCTGATGTCCCTGATCACAGCCCTGGTGATGGCCGCACCGCCCTCGATGTCGCCGGCGACGCTCACTTGACCGCCGCGGCCGGCGGCCCCGGCACGATGAACATGTGGCCAAAGTTCTCCTTCACCTCTTGCTCCTGTTGCTGCTCCTGCTGTTGCTCCAGCTGCTCGCGCCGCGTGCGCCGGAAGAAGCCTGCCAGGTGCAGGCCCTGCGTGATGAGCGCCAGTAGCAGCAGCGCCCCCAGCACGGCCACCACCACAATCCAGGTGGGCACCTCTTCGGGGGTGAGTGTGGCGGCGAGCAGCTCAGTGGTGACGCGCGCCTCGTCCGGCCGCTGGTTCAGCTCGGCTGGGATCAGCGAGTCGCCCAGCATGCGCACCCTTCCGCTGGAGGTGAGCAGCAGGCGGCTGACGCCGAGCGAGGAGAGCGCCGCCACGTCCAGCCGCAGTTCCAGCGCCACGGTGACGCGCGTGCTCGTCTCCGGCAGGGCGACCGTCTGGCAAGTGACGCGCGCGCACGGCGCGCTCGAGCCGGGCTCGCAGCCGACCAGCAGCGCGGAGGAGTTGTCGGCGGCGGCGGCCGGCGCCGGCAGCGGCTCGGGCGCCTCACGCCTGCTCCGTGCGGCGACCTGGCCGGACCGCACCGACTCCTGAGCCTGCAGGTCCGAGTCCAGGCTGTACACCGGCTCTGAGCTGTCCGCTGGCCGGCTCCCGCCGCCGGCGGCAGTCGGCTGTCGGCCCGACAACAGGTACGCGTCGTCCTCGACAACGCAAGTCAGCGGCTGGCTATCGACGAACGCCGCCGGCGGGTAGACTCGGGCGATGTTCACCACCGTGCCGTCCGCTGCCAGCACGTCCACCGGCACCAGGAACGAGATGTTGACCGCCGGCACCGGTGTCGGCAGGTACTTCAGCACCTGGTACGTATGCTGGACGAACTCAAACTTCGCGCCTCCGTCCTCCTCGTCCTCCACAGGCGCGTTCTCGAAGACGAGCGAAGGTTCGCGTGCGCGGCCGCGGATCTCCAGGTCGGCCTGGCTGACCAGAGGCAGTGAGATGTTGGCCACGTTGTCGGCGGGCGTCAGCTCCTCGCCTGCCGACTCCACCGATACGTTGAAGGTGAGGCGACCAGCGCGGCCAGTCACCGCCTTCATGTCGAACACCAGCGGCAGCCGGTACTCGGAGTTGTCGAAGAACGGGGTGCGGCAGTACGTTACAAGATGAGCGTGACGCCCTCCGGGCCGGCGGCGCGCTCGCGACAGTCGGACGGCAGGCGCCGCAGGCTGACCACCGCCGGCAGGGCGATGGTCAGCACGGGCAGCGAGGCCGGCTCTGCGCTGTTCGTCAGCGCCAGCTCCAGCTCCAGCGTGCCCGTGCTGCCGACCACGTACGCGCCGCCGGACAGGCCGAGGAAGCGGTGCGAGAGGCGCAGGTCCGTCTGGCAGGTGGCGTCCGCGCCGCAGCCCACCGAGAACGGCACGCTCAGCGTGGTCACCCGCTGGTTCGGCAGGTTCACGTTCGGCACGGGGCAGAGCGGGCAGAAGGAGTCAGCGCGTGGCGGCGCCTGCGGGAACTCGATCTGCCGCCGTCGCCGGGTGCTGAACTCGTAATCAACCAGACGTTTCTCCGTGTCCGTGTCAACGAACGTGCGGCGCACCTCCTCGGCGCCCGAGCCGGCCACCGCGTACCGCATGTTGATCTGCATCGGCTTGGTGTAGTCGATCCGCTTGGACGCGAGCAGCGCCACGTCCAGCACGCGGCAGGAGGGCTCGTCGCGGCTGATCTCCAGCGTGAAGTTTGCCTCCCGCTGCTGGCTGCCGTCGACGCTGAAGACGCCCTGTGCGTGGAAAGACTCGATACGGAGCGCGACGTCGACTGTGACCGAGTCCACAGCCTCGCCGCCGAAGGCCAGGCAGGCGCGCACCTGGAACCGGTCACGCGTCATGTCCAGCCGCTCGGGACTGGAGGTCAGCGAGCTCACGAACTCGATGACGGGGCTGGCGCGCAGCAGCACCACGTGGCCGCTGCCGTAGGCGCCCACCGCCAGGTCCGGGTGAGAGTTGCCGTCGATGTCGACCCCGCGGGAGACGCTGACGCCGAAGCCCCGCAGCGCGTCACCCAGGTCGCGGGCGGCGATCCGCTGGGAGGCCGTGGCAGCGAAGCGGCCGGGGCCGCCCCGGAACACGTACACAGCGCCGCGCCCCTCGTCCTCGTACGGCGCCGCGACGGCCACGTCCTCGTAGCCGTCGCGGTCAAGGTCGCCGAGCGGCGCCAGCGCGGTGCCGAGCCGGCCGCCGACGGCGCCGCCCTCCAGGCGGGTCGGCTCGCCCAGCCGACCGCCGCCGTCGTTGATGTAGACGTACACGCGGCCCTCGTCGCCGCCCCCGCCGGCGGGACTGGCCAGCGGCGCGCCGACCAGCGCGTCGCTGAGACCGTCCGCGTTCACGTCGACCGCCAGCACGGCGGCGCCGAAGTACTCGCCCAGCTGGTCGCCGACGCGCTCGGAGAGGACGTCGTAGGACCGGTCCTCAGTAGCGGGCAGGCGCAGCAGGTAGACGCTGCCGCGGCCGGCGGCAGCGCGCGGCGCGCCCACCAGCTCCGCCGTGCCGTCGGCCAGGAAGCGGCCCGAACTCACTGCGTAGCCGAAGTAGTCGTAGCGGCGCATCCTGTCCGGGAAGGCGGACGGGTCGGGCACGAGCAGGTCGCCGGCCGGGCTGTAGCGCGCCACCGTTCCTGTCCAGTCGAAGACACCCGGCGCGCCGAGCAGCAGAGCACCGCTGTCCTGCGCCAGGTGCGCCGACACGCCCGCCTGCCCGTACGAATACAGGTAGGCGTTGATGCCCACCAGGTGCGTGTACTGCTTGTCCTTGGCGGCCAGCGGCACCAGCCGCTCGAAGCTGTCGTCGACCGCATCGTTGCTGCCCACGTAGCAGGCGCCGTTGCCGAGCCGGTGGCCGCCGTAGCGCTGGTTGCGCCAGCGCGGCGCGCACACCACCAGCCGACCGCCGGCACCGTTCTGCACGTCCAGCGAGCCGCCCAGCCAGCCGGCGTCGCGCAGGCTGGTGTAGGAGCGGTCCGGTGCCGGCTCGTTGCCGTCCGCATCCACCAGGACCTCCTGACAGGGGCCGGCCGCCAGCGCCGGACACCGGAACAGCGCGCCCGGCTCGCGCACCTCGGGGTGCACGCCGAGCGTCGAGTTTGCGCGCGGCGCCCCCACCAGCACCCAGGGCTGGGTGCCGGCCACCAACGCCACCGTGTAGCCGAAGTAGGCGTCGGCGTCGGCCGCCGGGCCGCCGAAGATCACCGGGTGGCGCGTGTCCACGTTGAAGGGGAGCACGAGACCGAGCGCCGCCGCGAGCGCGGCCGCCTGGAGGAGCGCGTGCATGGTGTGCCGCCGCCGCCCGCGCCGTGACGACTGGCGGCGGCGGCGGCGGGCGGCGCGCGGCGCACGGCCCGCCCACCGATCGCTGGAAACGCCGCCGTCTCGGCACACCTGAGCGGCCGGAAGGCCGGCCGCTGACGTCACAGCTCGGGCCGGCGGCGGCGGTGTGTGCTCGGAACCAGCCGCGCCCAGCGTTCCGCTGTCGCCCACAGTGTTTGGTTTCGGCATGGCTGGTAGGTAAGCCGCGCCACGTCAGCCCTTTAACGTGACGGCCATCTAGCTAGCGCCGTTCGTTCTCAGCCAGTGCGTGTCGTGACGTCACGCCGGCTGTCAGTTCGAGGTGTGACGTCACCAACGCGCCCGGGTGAGTCACGCATTTCTCCGATCACCGCGGGCTGGACCGGTTACCTCTCTCTGCCCCGTGACGTCACCTTGTCTGACCTGGCCGGAGGTGGGGCAGGTACGGCGTCGTCCCGTGCCGGGTGTTCCAAGCGAGCCTGCGGCCCAGATCGGTGAAAGGCCTCGCGGACGTTTTTTTCGATGTTGTTGGGGCAGTAAGGACCCGCTCAATGCACTGATACGTCTCCTGACACTCAGAGTCTGGATGTCCGCAGTGTCCGCACCTGCTGAGCCCGTTCATACACGAGTAGGGCAACACAGCGCTGTCAGTGACAGTGATAGACTTCTTCGGATTGCACGGCGAGGCTTTGCAAGCAAGAAAAAGCGTGCTGACTTGCAACAGCTGACTAGGACAAAGACGCCAAGAATGCTGAGGTCAGCTGTGCAAGCTCATTTTTGAGGTCGTTAGTGCAGGACTCCCATGGTGGGACGGCACCTGGAATGGTGGGTTGCGGACACCGGACGCGACTGCATGTGGCGTGTCTTCATGTGCTCGGCATATGTCAAAAATACTCATAGGTTGCGTTCTCTTATTGCAAATATCGGTATCACATTGATGTGTTCGCAAATATTTACATGGCAAATCAAAATTCCTTAGGAAGCAAATGCTCATGTTCCCAGTGCACGGTATTCGCAAAACTCGTTTGTTCATTGGTCATGGTCATTTGCACAGAACTTCGGGCGTGCATTGAATGACGTTCGAAATTATTAGCACATTACTTTGTACCGCATCTTTTTGCACTCATCATAATGACGATAATCATCGCCATGTATTTTTAAGTGCTCTGAAAACGGATTTTTAGGGGAAGGGCCACAGGTTTGTAAGTCAGTACGTAGGTGATTCAACTGGCAAAAATGAAGGTAAACTGTAAGACGTACACAGTCCGGAATATACCTGTGGTGAGTTCTAACTCGAAGCAATAGTTTTCTCCACTTTTAGTGCTCCGCTGCCATAAATTCCTCACTCACGTGCGAAACATCAACCCAGTATCAGTGTCTCGCTCTCGGCCCGGCGTCCCGTTCCCTTGGCGATCGATGTCACGGAATCTGAAGGGTTATTCACCCATTCGCGATAACAACACCAAAGGACGTTCGGCGGTTTTTAGTCTGCTTGGAAGGTAGATATGGTAGCAAGTGAGGGCACCAAGGAGTGGGCCATCGGTTAAGCCGTCCTTTCGCGACGGTCGGACCCACGCCGCCGATGTCGAACAGCTGTCGCACCGACAGCTGACACGTCAGAAGCCTTTGACGGTGTCCAGCGTTGTCGACTCTCGGATAAGGTGGGCTGGTATGGCCTGGACGAACATTGGAACAGGGAGCAATTCAGGGAGTGGCTCAGGGGAGGGATTCAAGGAGAGAAAATTTCGAACTAGTTTTTGGTGACGCAACGTTACGGCTATCCGCTTGCGCCAAAGCTTTGGAAGTTGTTCCGAACAGGGAGCGTCCTTCCGAAAGCCACGTCTGTATTACGATGACGTGTCGCTACGCTTTGTTGTCCTGGTCTCTCAAAACCTTTCGCACTGGCTATCAGAATGAGTGAAAGCATGTTCGTGGAAGCACTGAAGCATACAACGCTGCACTCGTGAACCTACGCACGCAGCGAGTTGTCTTTTGTCGTACGCAACTATTCATCTCGCGTGTCTCCACGTGCATTTAGAGATACGTGAAACGAATAATTGCGTACGGAGGATACAGAAAGTACGGAGGATAAAATTACCATACGGAGGATTACGTACGTCTCGCATTCTTTTGAAGGCATGCGCAAATCTTCGTATCACATTTTGCCTCGTGCGAATACCCTTCACACGGGTTGTGCGCGCATGCAAATGTTCCCATCCTGTGCGACTGAAATTCGTATCCAATGAACTGTGTTGAGGAGGGAACAGTTATTTCGATGGCTGTTTGTCCGTCCGACCCGGACTTGACCGTTGCAAGGCTCAGCCATTGGCCACCACCCTGCCTGGGATACTATCTGGCGTTGAGTGTGATCTGTGCTTGCTGCTCAATGCCTACCGCCCGCTTACAGCCGTCAGATTATGGGCGCGCATGTGCTAACGTGCGGCTTGTAGCGATTCAGCAGTCGCAGTCAGGTCGTGGCCGGCTGTGGTTCGGTCATATGCATCGCAATGGTGGAGGGCTCCGACTAGTTCGGCTATATATACCGCCCCGGTGGACAGGCTCGAACCAGTTCGGCTATATATACCGCACCGGTGGGCAGGCTCGAACCAGTTTGGCTATGTATACCGCACCGATGGGCAGGCTCGAACCAGTTTGGCTATATATACCGCCTCGGTGGACAGGCTCGAACCAGTTTGGCTATATATACCGCCCCGGTGGACAGGCTCGAACCAGTTTGGCTATGTATACCGCACCGATGGGCAGGCTCGAACCAGTTTGGCTATATATATACCGCACCGTTGGGCAGGTTCGAACCAGTTTGGCTATATATACCGCCTCGGTGGACAGGCTCGAACCAGTTTGGCTATATATACCGCCTCGGTGGACAGGCTCGAACCAGTTTGGCTATATATACCGCCCCGGTGGACAGGCTCGAACCAGTTTGGCTATATATACCGCACCGTTGGGCAGGTTCGAACCAGTTTGGCTATATATACCGCCCCGGTGGACAGGCTCAAACCAGTTTGGCTATGTATACCGCACCGATGGGCCGGCTCGAACCAGTTTGGCTACGTATACCGCCCCGGTGGACAGGCTCGAACCAGTTCGGCTATGTATACCGCACCGATGGGCAGGCTCGAACCAGTTTGGCTATATATACCGCCTCGGTGGACAGGCTCGAACCAGTTCGGCTATATATACCGCACCGGTGAACAGGCTCAAACCAGTTCGGCCAAAGATACCGCACCGTTGGACAGGCTCGAACCAGTGCGGCTATATTACCGCACCGGTGGGAAGGTTCGAACCAGTTCGGCTATATATACCGCACCGGTGGGAAGGTTCGAACCAGTTCGACTATAGATACCGCACCAGTGGACAGGCTCAGACCAGTTCGGCTATATATACCGCACCGGTGGACAGGCTCGGACCAGTTCGGTCCATCCTAATCATCATATTCTAAGAAGTCTTCTCTCGAGAGGCATGGGGCTACCAATCCTTAGCAGCACCAGCGTTGACAACAGACGTGACTCATATTCTCAGTGAATCTTGCGCTCCACATGAACCTTACAGCAGTCACTAAGCGGGTACACCCGTGGCTTGTCGACATTGCGATACAGTTCGCTCTCCCCAGATCTCAAACCGGTGGCAATGGCCATAACCGCCCTACCTTATCGGGAGATCCAAGGGAAAGGGCGTGAGGACGCAATCCGTTACGATCCACGTGATAATCCCACAAGAAGGGACAATTGCGGGACGCGCAAAGTGGGTTGTGCCCCAGCAAGGTCCTGGGTCCACGAGATCTAGAACCCGTTCTAGATGCGTGCAAAGGACCAAACAGCTTGGTTTTCTAACATGTGACCTAACATTTTTCTCTTGAACATTTTCATGACTTGCGACTCGAATTTCGACAATATAACACATGCTGGGCATATGGCCCCCAGGATCCAGTAGGCACTACAGCCAACTGAAGGGGCCCGTCACCTTAAAATCCCCTCCCTCAGCGAAATCCTGTTCTACCGCTGCATTTTGTCCTCTCACGCATAGAGATGTAAAAGTTGGCATTTTATGAGGCTTGTGAGCGCAAAAGACCTTGAGCTGCTGGTTTTTCGATCATATAATTTCCGAGTATTTATGCTGACAGGTATCGAACTACAATAGGCAAGGAGGCACAGGTTTAAAGACACTATTAAGTTAATATTGGTCATGTTGTCACTATACTCGACGCTTCAACCGATCTGTGTGTGCCGTGCTGTGCTCAACCATGGCCATAAGCAAAGCTTGAAGTGCTGAGCCTTGACAACATAACTTATGTTGGTAAGCCAACAATTGGTAATGTTCTTAAACGAGTACCTGTTGGTATACTTAAGGTCGATAACTGTCAATGTAAGAGCTCATTCGTGATCTGTCAGCAGATTTGGTCAAAAGTTCGAATATGTCGGACTCGACGCTCAGCCTTATCGACGACACAAGGACAGACTCCCTGTAGTTGACGCATGAATGGGTTTCGTGCCTTGCACAGCGCACACGTTTGAAAGCTGTGATATACTGGACCAACAGCGCTGGCCTACTCTGGACGATACAGCGTCAGCTAGCGGAAATTTCCGGGCCTCACGCCATGCAGTATCTACAGACTTCCTGCATTTACACGTGGACGCGAAGAGTGCTTAGTGGGCATGAAATGAGCGGGGGCAGGGGTTGCGTCGCCACACGTGGTGTTGCTGTAGCACCATGCGTGCGAGTCCCAACCCTTGCACTCAATGTGATGTACCTTTGTTTCCAGCCGGCGTGACTGAGGTGGTCACGCGAATAGAAAGAAGAGCCGGTTGGGCCATGGTTCACCAGCTTTTCGACAATGTTTACATTAATCCTGCGATAACGCATGAAAATATGTGGCAACGAAACAGAGGCTTGCACACTCACCTCTTAGAATGCTTTTTGACTGCTTAGCGCCGGTGTCAGACGATGGCTAAGCCCCAAATTTTGTTAACACTTGTGAGACGTCAACGCGTTCGTCGCCAGCGCTGCAGAGTTGCAACCAATTTATGTATACAGCACGGATATAAGTCCGCGCCCCTCATTCTAGCAATGTCATTCAGTTCACCACGCAAATCAGGCTATGATTGATCGCGTGATTTAAAGTGCATACCACTCCTGAACGGTCGGCGTGCTGGCAGGCTTTCCGCGACCGCAGCTGGCCCGCCCCCTGTTTCAAGTCAGCCGTCGCCTGGCAGCGTAGTGCGATTACGGCCCTCGGATCAGGAATAGCGTTAGCGGCCTATATATATATATATATATATATATATATATATATATATATATATATATATATGATTACAGCTGTAATATCGACATACAAAAATGACAAAATTGTGAGTGATCAGTGTAGTTCAACCCAAATCCAACGGTAAGTTTCTCGTAGCGTTAAAGTTTTTGTCACGGCTGTCAGCTTAATGCAGCGTTGAAGTGCCCAAAAGGAACTAGTAACTCACGACACACGCTGCGGTTGTGGTAGTATGTGCAATGTTATGAATGTTTTCCGCAGCATTCAGACGCTGGTGGCCGACACCCACGCGCGTGATGCATCACCACGCCAAAGATCCCCTTTGAAGATTGTCACCAATGGCATGCGCTATTCTGGCAGGTGTGACGCATGCTACATACCAAGCTGTGAAGGTGAGCGGCATACCATACATACACATATGTGGGTGCAAAGTGCTCGTGCCCGCGCACAAAAACGACACAAGCGTGTATATCTAGGCGCGCGCGCACTGAAGCAAGCAAGCAGTGAACGAAGCGATGCCACAGCGACATGAAATCGTCCACTGATGTTCTTTTGTGTAATGACCGATCCGTGAAATGCAGCGCACACACCGCGCACGTGCATGGGACAAAGGCGATCAGATGAATCAGCCGTTGCGGGCCACAAGCCACAGACAGCCTTCCTCCTCGCACCGATGAATGGCGTGCTCTTGATCCGCGTGCCGAGCTTCGGGCGCGGCGTCACGTGATTAGAAAGCCGCTACTGGAAGCCCGCGCCGCCCCCGCTCACGAGGTGCGGTTCAACGCGCCGTGTAATGACCACCTGCGCGCACGGCCGGCACGTGTGTGGAGCGTCGGGCGTCGGCCGGCTGCGGCCGGCGCACGCGGCGGCACGCAGCGTCGCGGCAGCGCTGTTGCTGGCCGGCGCAGGCACGACGCCGACTTTACTTGCGCGTTCATATCGTCCCGACAGCTTTGACGGCTTTGTGCCATAACAAGACTTAACACCTGAACCCATGACCCACAAGGGGGTCTCAGAGCCCCCTCGCGTTTTTCCAGAATAGCTTCTGAACGGGTTTGGGTATGGTAAGGCACTTTTTCATTATTGAGTTTTTATTATTTTTACACGTGTAAGAGCTTGACATTTTTGGCCTTGAAGATTCGTGATCTATGACATATTTCGAAAGTTTGGCGACATTTTGCTCAAAAGTGGCATGATGTTTATCAATCGCCGGAAATACACCCTAAAGAGGTTTCCAAGAGTGTCATATATGTAAATAAATATCCATAAATCATCCTGAAGTGCATACTATGGCAGCTTTCGCAATGGCAGGTCATCAAGGTCAAAAAGGTAAAAATTTCTGCTCTGTGATTAAATTTAACCCCTTGAAGATCATAGGTTAAAACTTAAATGGCATATACCTTACAGCTTTTGAGCGGCCTTGCCGGGCTGTTTTCACCATTGATACGGCTTGTGTAGTTCTTGACATATTTCGGCCTGTCAATGCAGTAATAGCCTTCCCTCATTTGACCTGACATGTCGTATCGCAGGTCAGGTGTGTCGATGTCCATTAATGCCCATCTTAAAGCCCTCCAAGAGTTGTTTGATACTGCCGTCCGCATGTCACAGCACGCTTAGCTTTTGAAATGATGGAAAGGCTTTAACCAGCAATGCGTTGTATAGCGCTATATTGTGTCAGTGTATGTGCTACAGGGCAGTCAGTTAAGTGCTATTTTGATTACTATGACCTGCCTCGACCTGTCAATGGTCACATTTACCATCCTTTTATCACATCTGTACGAGGCACTGTGACGAGGTCTTTCCATCCTCGTGTCCACCATACCTCTGACTTTCTTAGTTTTCGATATCTTGCTGGGGCTTTGAGCCGTACATAAAACTGTCGCCGGACAAGGGTTAAATGCTGCATTCCAAGACTTAAGGCTGAACAGGTGGGTCCTAGTGCGTCAAATCAGGTTTTGTTACATTCTGTGCATATCCGGCTAATGGCATTACTGGCTCTTCATTCGAAGCTCTAGTTCATTTGAAAGCCAAATGGCGAGGACTCTTAACCTTGTCTCGATTTCTCCTCACCCATTACTTGCTCTTTACTTACTCTTTTCTCCACTGGTGTCTATTTCTCAAAATGATTGGGGGGGAGGGAGGCCAGAATGTTAGAAGTCACCAGTTTCAGTGCACGCATTAACCAACGCAATCAGTGCACGCATTAACCCTACCTATAAAGCTTTGGAGTAATGCATTCCTGGCATGTCGCGGAATCGCACCGAAACTTCCAGCAGCCTCCGGGACATCCATTGGGTGGTTTGACAATACAAAATGTCTCTAGCTGTTCTCCTTTCCAGTAGAACCGCACTTCCTGGAACAATGCATGGTAAATCCTCTGGTGGTGAGGGTGGTAGGGCGGAGTCGCATGCCACATTTCAATATAACGTTGTAGGAACAGATGAACCGATTGAAAGTAGTTTTCCTCGTCTTATGTCCAATAGATAGCAGCTTTGTTAAGTGAAATTCGCATTTGTATGTGATTTCAATTTTAGGATTTGACCACCCTTTTCAACACTGTTCAGTCTCAAAGAGCATCCCACTGCACTTATTACACATCACATGTGACAACGTCAGTTGGAAGCGAAAACGAAAGGGAAATGGTGTAATGTTTCAGAATTGAGGAGACTGCCATGATGACATCACACATAAATCAGGCGAATTATTTCCTGTTTGTGGCCTGGCCATCCAGGATCGCGCGCGGCCCCGCAGCTAAGCGGTGGTCGGCAGCCGACGGACCAGCTGACCACGTGCGGCGGGCAGGACAACGCTACGTTTATTGAGCCCTTACATCATAAATATTTACTCAAAACACAAAAATGCATACCAATATTCCTTATTTCAAACAGGGAACCCAGATGAAGAAAACTCCTTCTGATGCATCGCATGGCGTCGTAAACAGCAGGCCTAAGGAAAGTGCTCCACCTCTATGTGAGGATTTGAGCTATGTAGCCATCTTGAAAATCCTTCGGTGCTGGTCACAGCTCTGTTCCTCTTAAGACAACAGCCCCTCTAGCTGCTGAGCTCATTTGGTGCTGGTCACAGCTCTGCTCTTCTTAAGACCTCAGTCCCTCTAGCTGCTGAGCTCATTCGGTGCTGGTCACAGCCCTGTTCTTCTTAAGAACTCAGTCCCTCTACTTTCTGAGCTCATTCGGTGCTGGTCTAGCTCTGTTCTTCTTAAGAACTCCGCCCCTCTAGCTTCTGAGCTCATTCGGTGCTCGTCACAGCTCTGTTCCTCTTAGGACCTCAGTCCCTCTAGCTTCTGAGCTACACACTCAACACATCTTCTGGCGAATGTGTGTTGAGTATTTTGGGAACACTATGTCAAGGTTTCCAAGGCATCTATGACGCTGCAGTAGCGTTATTCATATTCTGCCATTCCATTGGCCATGCGGCGACCAATGCCAAGAAAGATATAATTGCCGAGTTGTTCCTATCTGGTGTTCGTGAGCTCGATTTCCAGATACCACGGCCGTCAAATGGCTCTCGATCAATGTTGTGCAAGGGATGATGACGCAATCAAATAATAACATATTGAAGAGCATATTTACTGAACAGAAAAAGCGCATTGTCTAGAGCCGCCATTTCCAGTTAAAGGTATGTCAATAGTTATAAGTCAGCTAAGTTAATCAAATCTGATACTTGCTTAATATCTTCAAAAGTGAAACACTCCCTTAAAAATGCCATTTTTGAGAAAAGCGCCTTAGACCTGACCCAGTGGGATCAATTATTCACCTAGCAGCGCATAAACCATAATTATCAACCGTAAAATCCGTTTTTATCAGCTTGGAAATGGCAGTGGGTCGCATCGGCCCAGTCCTTCCTCATTATGGGAAACGGTGAATACTTGTGGTCAAATCCAGACGTTAAAAAGTGGAAGCAACGCAGTCGCAGATCATCCCAGCACGATAAGGAATGCAGTTTGTGCAACAAAAAAAAGGAAAAAAGACTGTGGCTGCTGTCCTCCTTTCCTGGAAACCCAAAGCGACGTTGGGTCTCACGGTGCCTTTGCTACCTCCTGTGACGTCACATCGGCGTCAGCGATGAGAAGCCAGGCAAGTGCAACCTGCATACATGCTCGTGTTAGTCTGCCTAAGGTGCACTAAAATGTCCTGTTCTTGAGAGTGGTCGGAAAGAAACTGCTGTCGCTGTTGAACCTCGTCGAACTCATCAGCTCCGACGGAGATAAAATCGCTGAATAAATATGGGCCATTGCCTTTTATGTATTGGAGTCGTACTTTTCACCGAACGGCATTGCATTGTGGGTTTTGAATAACGGTCTGATCCTTTTAACTCTGACGAGAGCTGTAATTGGACTAAGAAAATTAGTGAATACTTAAGCATCGGCATCATCAGGTTTTCCACAGCAGCACCGAGTCTTCCATCTCTGGAAAATTTGATCAGTTTTTCACCACTAATGTACACAACATATCGAGATCAAAAGTATTTACACAGCCATTTTGATGGGAGCATATCTCACTTGCACAAAAGCACAGACGACCCCTGTCCGACTCTCACTGGCCTTGGGTGGCACGGACACTGTTCTCACTGCTTCTTCTTGTCCTTGGCCTGCTTCAGGGTGTTGCTGAGGATCTGCTGCAGGCGCCTCACCTCCTCGGGCTTCACCTTGGGCTGCTCAGTAGGCTGCGCTGAGGCCGCCGCTTCGGCCTCGGGGGCCGCCGTTTTGGCCTCGGGGGTCGCTGCAGGTGACACCACCTTCGGCGACGCCGTCCACGCCTGCAAAGGGCGCGAGAGATGTGACGGGGAGAACGGGTACACTCGGAGAACTGGATCACGTGTGGACGCGCTGGTCACATGAACAACGGTGACATTATTTGTTGGTGATAATTCAAATGGAAGTTGCCGGAAGGGAGCATTTCTACCGTGACAGGGAAATATTTTATGTGAACTGAGCCATGAGTGACACATTTTTGAACGGACAAACACTACCTGGCTGGAAATGCGACTCAGAGAAATCTGCTCCAGCGATTTGTGCTTTTTAAACATATGTATCCTGGAGCAAGAAACATAATAACTAGCTCCTCGGCCTCGCCTTCCAATGCCGCAGTGACAGAGGGCTCGGGTTGGGTGCGGCGATCCTCCCACACCGCCCCACCCGCAACCCACAACGGCCTCTGCCAGTGGGGCGCGGATTCTGACCTGATTAGAGGGCATGGTGCAGTTGGCCGGGTGCACCTCTGCCGGCCAGTTACACTCGATGCGCTTCTGGTCCCAGATCAGGCCTTCGGGGCACGTCTTCAGCTCCGGCACGCCCGCCACGCACCAGTAGTACTGGTCACAGCGCGCCGCCGGCAGGTAGTCGTAGCCCATCGAACAGTTGGCGCCCGGCGGCGGCGGTGGCAGCGTCGGCGTCGGACGGGTGGTGTGGGGAGGGTACCAAGTGTGCTGTCGGAGGTACGGAGTACGAGGTCACTGGGACGGGCTGTCGCCAGAGGTACCACGTGTGCTGTCGGAGGTACGGAGTACAAGATCATTGGGACGGGGTGTCGCCAGGTGTACCACGTGTGCTGTCGGAGGTACGGAGTACGATATCACTGGGACGGGGTGTCGCCAGGTGTACCACGTGTGCTGTCGGAGGTACGGAGTACGATATCACTGGGACGGGGTGTCGCCAGGTGTACCACGTGTGCTGTCGGAGGTACGGAGTACGAGATCACTGGGACGGGGTGTCGCCAGTGGTATCACTTGTGCTGTCGGAGGTACGGAGTTCGAGGTCACTGGGACGGGGTGTCGGTAGGGGTAACACTTGTGCTGTCGGAGGTACGTAGTACGAGGTCACCTGGACGAAGGGTGTGACATTATGGAACAGAGGGTATGACCAGGGGGCTCAAAATGCCTGTTTAAAGGTACAGCATACAGAGGGCCATTTAGCATGGCGACGAAAAAATAAGCAACGTTTCACGGTACATGCCTACCAGTGTTACCTGCACGAGGAACAATATCCCTATGCCTGTTTGAGGCACCGATCAGTGCTCGCACTGGGGCCTACCTTGGTGGTGGGAGGCGTGGTCGGCGTCGGTGGTACAATGTAGTCCTTGAGCTCGTCGTGGATGACGCGCATCACAGGGTTGGCACCGTGACCGCACATGTTCCCGAAGTCGTCCATGTCGGTCGACCAGACCATGCCGCCGCCATACCCGTTGGCCTTGATGAAGTCGGTCTTGAACTTGATGCTGTGCGGGTCCTCGTAGCCCACCCACTGGTCATCTACGGCACGGAGCAATGCACTCAACGATTGAGGATCGACCGACCCAGCACGCGAGCATCGGCTGGAGGTCAGGGTTGACCATCGGGTGGAAGTCAGGGTTGGCCATCGGCTGGAGGTCAGGCTTAACCATCGGGTGGAAGCCAGGGTTGACCATCGGCTGGAGGTCAGGCTTAACCATCGGGTGGAAGTCAGGGTTGGCCATCGGCTGGAGGTCAGGCTTAACCATCGGGTGGAAGTCAGGGTTGACCATCGGCTGGAGGTCAGAGTTGACCATCGGGTGGAAGTCAGGGTTGACCATGGCTCCTCCTTCGAGGATAGTTGTGGGGTGATCCGGCCATACGCATGCGTGGCTTGTAAGTGACGAGTGGGCTGTTGTGACAAGAGAACAGCTCATGCCGGTTGTAAGATTGTCGAATGCAGCATACGGTGAAATAATTACTGAAGCTGTATACAGTATCCCGACAGCCGTCCTACCCGCCAGCTGCCGTCCCGATCACTCGGGTGGTTGAAGTGCCTGCCCTCTGATCCTGCCGTTCGTTGCCAGGTGTGTTCGAGTCGCTTCTTTTGCGCTCGCTATCGCGTTCGCTATTTGCTCTTGACTGGGATAGCTTGCGATCGGGAGCAACGGCCGCGCTGAAGGTCAGGTGACGTCCGAGGGCTGGACGGACCGTGTCGAGCATTGCGGTGCGTCACACTTTCGCCACATTTTTTGGTGGCGAAAAAGTTCTGACTTGTTTGAAAATTACGACTTTTCTAGTCAAGGTCAAGGCCAATATTCACGGTGCAACTAGATCAGTAATTTCGGTATGGTGGTGTTCGTCTGCGATTTGGGCTCAATCGGTCGTGCAGGTATGCGAATAAAGGGCGCATATCGAGTGAGGGACTTACGCTGTATCTACACAAAGCACCTGCAAACGTATATTGGCTTAAATCATCTATCTCCTCGCCTTAGTCGTCTGAGGTCTGGAGCCTTCAGTACAAGTCCGAGTCCACGCCTGCCATGCTGTATTAGCTAAAGTCCGTAAGCTCTATAGCGCACGGGTTCAGGCTCAAGCCATGGCCTTTTGGCTCAGGATACCTGTCCGTCAGTTCCGCAAGAGATAAGTCAGGGTCCCCGAGTCCAACAACTGTGTATGCGATCGGACAGGACAGCAAATCATCCGGGACAGGACACAGCTCACCGTTGATACGATCGTCATCCATCCGATCTCAGCGACCCTTTGTCATGCAATCGTTATGCATTCCATGCACCGTTTTACGGCTGACCACGTTTTTTCGCTAGGTCAAGGTCGCGTTTTTTATTCCTCACGAGAGTTGTCAAGCAATGTCTTTCGGTGGTGAATCTTCCCCATAGGAAATACTGCGCGTTGTGTTTATGATATCCATTTTGTTTGGATAGGAACTTTCGATTAGAGTCCGAGTGACGGAGTTTGGTCCAAGTCTGCTTCACATTCATTAATGCTTAAGCGTGAGTTCCAGACCAGGCTAACACGTGTTCATTCGTGGAAATGTAGTCCGATTCAGCCTTGAAATGAATCAAGGTCGAGTTTCGACTCGAGCCCGGGAGCCCACCAAGGCGCTTCCCAAATTATCCAAACAAGATGCTTCCCAAGCTAGCCCAACAAGATGCCATGAACATTGCAACATCATCACATCGGTACAAAAACTGAAAATGTTATGGGACACTCAGCATAAGAAGTAATATAAGCTGACATCTGTGCCAAGCCATAGCCAGCATAGATATTGAACAGCGGCGATAAGGAAGCTCATCAGTCATAAAACTTAAGTTCGAATACAGTACGAGCGCGATGTTTGTTCGGTCGTTGGGGCTTGAATCCTCTTGAGGGTGGAGCTGAAGTTGACCATATCACTCAAGCTGTTTGTTTAAGCAAAAGATTGCTGCCACGAGATTGACTTCTTGGCAGCTTTACTCGGAGCAAGTGCAGATAACGAGTAGACATCACTGTTTAGGCCAATGTAAAGCAAATGTGAAAACATTGTGTGTAATGTGGATGTCGTAAATCGCATTACCCCTCTATCACGCATTATGCCATCGCCACCGAAGACATGGACATTTCTGTGGCCATACGAATCACTTCAACGCCCCAAGTAAAAAAAGACCAAGTCTTCTTACCTTTGTAGGCGTACGGACACTTGCCGATGTCATCGAACTCCTGTCCCCAGCTGTCCACGATGGAGCAGATCTGTGAATACGCAACCGTCATTCGGTTAGTCCCCGCATCAGAAAAAGGGTTACGAAGACTCCAGTGCGTCCAGCAAATACAGCATGGTTCAGCAGGCTTGGCACAGGTTCGCAGCAGCCTCGTAAACAACTTTCTGAACGCTAGCGAACATCGCCAACTGGGAACAGCGCGCAAAAGGGCATTGGTTCCGATGCTGCACCGTCGACACAGAAGCCGCTCCTGGTTACCTCGTAGTAGGCGAGCGTGCCGGTGGCGTTAGTGTAGGGTCCTGGCGCCCCGCCGCCGATCCATTTCTTGATGTAGGCGCCCTCGTCGTGGCTCTTGGGGTCGGTGAGTGTGTAGGTGCGGCCGTAGACGGCCAGGCCGACCAGGAGCTTGTCTTGCGGGCAGCCGTGGCGCACCCACACCTTCATGCCGTCCTCCTGCGAACATCCGGAGAACCACGTCAGGCCCCGGTTACGGCGCACTGAAATGACGGGCCGCAGTCAGGTCACAGGTCATGATCAGATAACAACCAGGTCACAGGTCACGGCCAGACCACAGCAAGGTCACAGGCCACGGCCAGAAAGCAGCCAGGTGTTTGCGGTGAGGTGGCTGCCCCTTTCATCCCCAGCTGTTCGACGTCAGGGCACCAACGCCCACGCCCCGGACTACACACCAGATACACGTGCGGCACTGTTGGAGCACAGGAGCCCACACGCCTCCCTCCCCCCCCCCCCCCCGACCTCAGCGGCTCGCGGCCGGCCGCCGCCGACTCACCACGTTGAGTTTCTCGTAGCTCCACTGGTCGAGCCCGGGCCGCTTGTGCAGCGGCGTGTGCACGTCGGCGTAGCCCACCCAGTTGCCGCGCAGGTCGTACGTCATGCCGTGCACGGCCGTGATGACCGAGCACAGCGCCGGCACGTCGTAGCCGTCGCCGATGCGGAACTCCACCACGCCCACGGCCATGGTCAGCTCCCAGGCGGGGTTCTCGGCGTCGAACGCCGCCCGCACTTCTTGCATCTGTCGGAGCGCGGCGTCGGCTACAGCGCTGCACAAGGTGACATCCCCGTTTGTTTTAGGGAACGCGACGCGCCGAACGTAGGCGCTTAGGGGTCCCGGTGTAGAAAAACGTACAGCTGTGCACACTATGCTGCGCTGAAGTACGCTGAAGAATACGCCGTACACTGAAGTGCCGTACCGAGCAGTGAAGCGATCACTGCGCCCGAAAATAATGGAGCAGTTAAGGTTTACCAGTGATACGCGCCACAAAAACACGAGCGCAAACTTTTTGTACGTTAGGATTTGTTTTGTGTTGCAGAGATTACTGAATTCCCCGATGTCTGTGAGCATACAATGCATCAAGATGGGGGAGATATTCCTTCTCCGCGCGCGGCAACTTACAAATTTGACGAAGTTGACCTTGTCCGCGTATGCGCCGCCTCGATCGGCCGCTCCCGGGTACTCCCAGTCCACGTCCAGGCCGTCAAAGTTGTACTTCTTGATGAACGCTGCGACACAACGATCACATCATTAGGAAAATTACTGAACAAAGTGTTTATCTAAAAACTTAACGTGTTTTAAAAATTTAACGTGTTTAAAAACTTTGACGTGTTTAACTGAACTGGATTTTGCTGGCATAGGCCTTTTTCTTGACGTGCATAAGTGTGTCGCAGTTCTTCCGTCGCTTCAACCGCGTCCAATTTTTACGACTGACCTGAGTGGCTTGGGCCTTCTCCCTGGACCAGCCCAGTCGCTAGCGCGACACAGGCCATTCATACGTACCGACCATGCTCTTGATGTAGGACTGGCGGCGGCCGGGGTCCGACACGAGCTCCGAGTACTTCTTGCCGCCCTCGCCCCAGCCGCCCATGGCCACCGTGGTGACCAGGCCCGGGTAGCGCTTCTTCAGGTCGGTGAACCGCCGGAACGCGCCGTCCTCGCCCGTGTCGTGCTGCCGGCCAGAGACGCGGCTCGGTCAGGGCTGAGCTGAACCCAGACCAGGGCAGGCCAGGGGACTGCCACCGCCAGAGACGCGGCTCGGTCAGGGCTGAGCTGAACCCAGACCAGGGCAGGCCAGGGGACTGCCACCGCCAGAGACGCGGCTCGGTCGGGGCTGGCTGGTCCGGGCCCAGGGCAGGCCAGGGGACTGCCACCGCCAGAGACGCGGCTCGGTCGGGGCTGGGCTGGTCCGAGCCCAGGGAGGGCCAGGGAACTGTCACCGCCAGAGACGCGGCTCGGTCGGGGCTGGACTGGTCCGAGCCCAGGGAGGGCCAGGGGACTGCCACCGCCAGAAGGGCAGCAGGAGAGGCATACTGACCGCCAGCCGGGCTCGAGGTGAACAGTGAGGTCGTCTCAGCAACCATTGACAGCGGTCATATCGTTTGAACACTGCCACAGCAACTCCCGGGCACTAGAACAGCTACCCGACTACCTTAGAGATGGAGCCACCCGGACCAGACTGGGACTTTGATTCAAACTGGACCGGTTGTCTTTCATGACACCTCCATCGTCAGTTCCCTTAAGATGTACCCATTCGCCACCCTGGACAGTCGGAGCATACTACAGCTGCAGCACGCAGCCCGGCGCGTGATGGGCGGAACTGATTGGCGGAACTGCCTTCATGACTGGGCGTGGCCGGACCCGCGAAGCTAGCCGACGTCGTGGTGCACTCACGTCCGGATCCAGGATGAGCACCTCCCACGTGACGTTACTGACGCCGACGAAGGCGTAGATGAGGTGGGTGCAGAGGTCGGCCGGGATGTCCTCCACGTCATAGCTGCCGGCGCCCACCCGCGAGTACGCCCAGCTGGCGAAGTAGCAGGTGCGCCGTCCCTGGCGGTCCGCGGTCCGGATCGGCCACACTGGCGTGCAGGGTCGGGGAGCCGGGTCACACGCGGTCTTTATTGGCCACACTGGCGTGCAGGATCAGGGAGCCGGGTCACACGCGGTCTTTATTGGCCACACTGGCGTGCAGAGTCAGGGAGCCGGGTCACACGCGGTCTTTATTGGCCACACTGGCGTGCAGGGTCAGGGAGCCGGGTCACACGCGGTCTTTATTGGCCACACTGGCGTGCAGGGTCAGGGAGCCGGGTCACACGCGGTCTTTATTGGCCACACTGGCGTGCAGGGTCAGGGAGCCGGGTCACACGTGGTCTTTATTGGCCACACTGGCGTGCAGGGCCAGGGAACCGGGTCACACGCAGTCTTTTCCACTTAAGAGTATACCGATAATTATAAATGGGCTTGTTTCATCATAGGTGACATCTGCTTCAACATCCTCAGATGTGGAACATTTCGTTCAACTGTTACATAGTCACACACGGAGGAAGATGGATCGGACCTGTCAGAGTTTGGTGCGTTCCTGGGTGTTAGAAAGAGGCATGAGGATAGGTCTCCAGCACATCATGCCAGATGTGGTCACACATGCCCCGGTGCCATGATAGTCGTAAGCGCCTCCACATCCAAACAAAACCAGGCCCAGTGAAGCCTCCCACGGTGGAAGCTGAGCCCGAACTGTCTGGCATGAGCCGAACGCCCGTGCTCTTTCCGGCGGTCATCCACAGCCCTCCGCCGCTTCACTGAGCGCAATTCATGCGGGGTAGTGTTCCGGGGCTGGTATCGATGACACTCAGACAGCTCACATCTCACTTCCTGCAGTAACGCTTCCTCAGGGAGGGTCAGGGTGGCTTTCTCAGACGGATCCACGTGCCCCACCCCAGCGAGCCGATCGCTCACCTCCCCCGGTGTTTTGCACCCTGGGCTGGGCGGCCAGGGCGGCGCCCACTCCCAGCAGCAGCAGCAGCAGGCAGCGCCACAGAGACATGGCTGGCCGGAGTCGTGCCTGTCGGCGTCGGCACACCACTTACGAGCGGTCCGAGGAGGGGGGGGGGGGGGGGAAGGCCGACACGGCCCGCGGCACTACACGGACGGGGACGGGGGCGGAGCGGCACGGACCCGAGCACAGCAGCTGGCCACCGACAGTCCGTGAACGTCCCTCAAGCTCAGCACTGAAACACTTGTCACTTTGGCTCGAAATTCATGGCAGGAAAAGCGCAATGTGCGACGCAAGATTTGGCGGGAAGAGCGGATTAGTTGTGTCAAGCATGTTCTGCAGTACAGAACGACCACTCGTCACACACTATCCTCATCGAGCCCTTTCAATTATTCCTGTGATCCTGCTGAGAGTACAAGACTACGTTTGCCGTGGATGAAGCACGCAATGATCGCTCACTACAATGAGTGCGACTGAATTGTGAAGTACGAATGAAATTTATCACCCCATCTCATCAGCGGCAGCGTTACAATATACTACATGATTACTGCGGGTACGCACAGACGGGCCACTCAGCTACACGTGCGGCCCCATGGCAGCGCTGACCCGGCCTTGCTGATCTGAGGACGCGTCCACATTGTCTTACCTGCGGTCCGGCACTGTATGAGCTTCATCGGGTGCGAGGCTTTAAAAAGACATCCGATAATGGCCTGAGCCGGGTCGCCTTATCACCCGAGTGCCAGCGGCTATCTGCACGGGGATTAGACCGCTGCGATAAACGCATCTTCACTTTGTGACCGAGCAGGACCGATCCAGGACACCGCGTCCTCAGACCTGTCTCTTAGTCACCACCCTCTCCCTCCAAAAACGCACATACCTTGAACCTGTATTTCCTGCTCACCAGCTCATCGGGGTTGCGAGCAAACAACGCATGACGACGGGCAGATACGGCCATTACGGCTGCCTCGACCAGCTGCTTGTGCTATCATGCCGAAGACATGATGTGCGTGTTAAGCACAGACTATTTATTCGAAGACGAGAAATGCGACTACATGACTGCAAGCTACTTCCACAATACTGGCTTTCTGACGCCTTCCCCTTTCATCAAGTAGGTAGCTATGTTTAAACTAGAAAATTGCAAGCACCTACATGGAAGGCATTGCATCTTGACCACTAGTACGGCTTTTCAACAAACCACCACAGTGTGGCCAACACCACACAAGTAGATCACCGCACGTCTATGCTTTGATACGAGAAAGCTTCAAGCCGTTCAGAACGGGACAAAGCTTAACTATTGCCAGCTCGCTAGTGAACCGACAGGAATACACATAACGAAGCATACGCTGGCTGCCTAGCCGTGGCTATCAACGTACTCAACGTGGCTTCTCTATACGCAAATAGCAGCCAGGCAATGCAGTAGTTGGCTGAAAATATAAACAGTTATCGCTAACTGGCGCATAGTTTCGCTGTCTAAGCAATGGGTTTCGTTCACACATCAAGCTCCGCCTGATTATTGCACGATTTCTCTCTAGTCCCAACGATAGCCATGCTTTCACACAGCGCAACATAGCTCAGCGCGTGCCGCTCAGTCCGGCGTCTACTTGATGTCGCAGAGCAGCGCCACGCCGCGCAGCGTCCAGTGGGTGGCGTTCAGGTCCGTCTCGAAGTCGATGCTACCGATGTAGGTGCGGTCGGTGCGGCACGGCTTGCGGTACACGGGGCACTCGTAGAGGCGCGGGTCCTTGCCGCCCGTCGACGAGATGGCGTAGATGTAGACGGTCGGCATGGGCTCGTACAGCACCTGCCGGCGGACGGGGCGGCGGAGCTGAGGCCTGACCGCAGCTGAGCCCGTCACCGAAGCCCGGCAGCCGGCTCTCAGCACGGACCGGGACCCGGCAAAGCTTAGCGCTGCAGCAGGGGTAAGTGAGAGATATATGCAAATACCAACCAGATACACATAGGTTTTTAGTGGCGGACTAAGTTTGGCAGATCAGGACGGATTGACAGGACAGCTTCATCGTTTTAAGAGGCAGAAGTGGTCCCGATACTCAGTATTTTCTGCGGCCCTGGTGACCACCTGAGGTGCTTGCCAACAGATTGTTTCGCACAAATAAGCCGCACGCAGAGAAAGCTGTACAAATAACATGCACATACATAAGTCGATAGAGCACTCCGATACGTGCCCGCATATCAAGCAGGCCCTTGTGATCCCAGACAATGTGAAGTGTTTGTGAGCTCTCGACGAGCACACGTGACCAGAGCCGCACTGTGAGCCCGTGCCAAAGGAATCGCGCAGCCGAGTCCGAAGGATTACGTGTAAACATCAAGCTGTGGGTATGGTGAGGTGAGTCGGAATGTCCAGAAGGTTCAACATAGCCGAACACTACGCGTCCAGCTACGGGCGATGTGTAGTAGTGACACAGACAGTTATCTAGGAAGCCGCTGAGCATGGCCTATCTGTATCGTATATTATGTTCTTTGCTTGATGGCCTGTTTATTCAAGATCGCACAGCATGAGGCGTCACGTGTCGGTCGTAAAGGCAAGTGTAATCCATTTTGGGAAACACAGCCCCAGAAAGGCCTTCCAGGCCGAAATCAGCGATTACCTATGATGACGTCGTAGATGAGTTCCAGCACTTGTAAGGAAGACATCGGAGAATGCACTCAAACACGGTCATGAAAACCATTGTCCCCATATCAGCTTCGAGAGCATCAACCGCAAATTTCCTATCATAAGTGGAGGGACGAATGACTGTATCCAACTGGCTGTACTGCCGCGGCGTCTGAGCGGCGTCAGTGCCCACTCGGTCTGAGAGGATGGATTTCCACACTGAACCAGAGATGCTCCTCGCTATCGCTCTCTTGGCAGCATGCCAGCGTGCCCTTATGGCGGCACTTGCACCTGCGCTGGGTGCTTGATACCCGATAGGGTTGGGATCAAGAGGATGTGGTGCGACGGTCAGTCTGATCTCATCTCGTACTTAGGTCGGAGTCGCCAGCTATCGCAAAAAGTACAATGAGCAGCCTAGCTGGCAGATCAAGCTATCCAGACACGGACAAACAACATACTCAAGAAGCATTGCGTCACCAGAAGCTTCACGTGGAAACGCATGAATTGACGGAGCTCAATTTTCAGGATCGTTTCTGGGGACCAGCCATCAGAGTGCATGCAATTCTGCACCATGCCCATGATAAATACTGTCATTTTAGTTTCAGGATATCATGAAAAGGTACTCTATCTACGCACGGAACCCAGGGCGGCTGTGAGGATAGATATCTTATTCTATTCATCCCGCAATGGTAGCTTAGATCCTTACCGAAGTTACCAGTTCAAAAAGGGGATCGAACTCAAGAAAACCAGCGCCGCTGCGCTAGTCTAATGCGACCGTGACCTAGGACCTGCGTGGTCCATGACCCAGAGCCTGCTTGAACCGCGACACAGGGCCACGTGACCCGTGACCACTGGCCAAGGGCCCGCGCGGCCCATGACCCAGGACCCGCGTGACCCGTGACCCAGGACCAGGGTGGCCCGTAACTCATGACCCGCGTGACCCATGACCCGCGTGACCCAGGTCCCACGTGATCCGTGACCCACGACACGGGAAAATTCCCCAGTCACGATGAGAGCGAACAGCAAGCAGGCGGCAGCCGGAGAACGACGCGTTTGCGGCAGCGGCACATCTTTAATTGGAAGGGCGAGTCACGACACACTTTGCTCCGTGAATTGTTTGAAACTCCGTGAACTCGTGAAAAAAATCGCTCCTGGCCGCTGCGTCAGCACACACCCAGCACACGTAGCCCGCATTACAGATTACCACTGCAAACCCGGCAACGGACCCACCTTGGGCTTGGACTCAACCAGTTTGCCGGTCTTGCGGTCGAACGCGGCCCCCTCCAGGAAGAGGCCGTACACGTAGACGCCCTCCGGCGGCGGCTCGTCAATCTCCTCGTACGTGAAGCTCGTCACCGTGTTCTGCATGACCACCGAGTCCAGCGCCCAGCCGCGGTGCGCCCTGGTGATCTCCTGCGGCCAACAGGTCACGGGTGGTGATGATCAAAGATCTGGAGCTTAAACAGGGTGATCTTCCCAGGCTCGTTGATCGGGATGCGAGACATTTCGTAGTTGTTAGATTTACATTTACCTTTGGGGGACAACTCTGAGCTGGGATTTTGCTTGGAGGAGTGTTGGAAGCAGAGTCACGCCGAGCATAACTCGTGGCGTGGACATTGACCCGGCTGCTGCAATACAGCAATCCCATGTCGGCGGACAATTTCATGGGACATTTTATGGGACAGCGCATTGTCACAACACAGCTTCTCCCGTGTGTCAGCCTGACTCTCGCGGCCAAATGCCAACTGACATCAGACGTGAATCGCGTCCGTGTTGTTTGTGGGATGCGAGCCGCACGCTTGTCACACGGTAGAAATAACGAGTCCCGCGCTACCCCCACTGAGCTACCGGGCAGGCATGAGTCAGGTGTGCCGAGGAGGGACGCGGCACAGGGAGCACGTTGCACCCCACATAAGACGTCAGAACATCGTCACGGGGGGTGACGTCACGCAAAAAGGCCAAAATCCTCTCCAGAGATTTGGCCCACAGCTGAATGGTATCCACGCTGGTCCCCAGTGTGGCTGCCACGGCACGCCACGCTGGGTGTCACCGACCTGTCACATGGCCGTCACCGACCTGTCACATGGCCGTCACCGACCTGTCACATGGCCGTCACCGACCTGTCACATGGCCGTCACCGACCTGTCACATGGCCGTCACCGACCTGTCACATGGCCCTCACCGACCTGCCCCATGGCAGTCACCGACCTGTCACATGGCCGTCACCGACCTGTCATATGGCCGTCACCGACCTGTCATATGGCCGTCACCGACCTGTCTCATGGCCGTCACCTAGCTGTCTCATCGCCGTCACAGACCTGTCATACAGCCGCAACCGACCTGTCACATGGCCGTCACCGACCTGTCACATGGCTCTCACCGACCTGCCCCATGGCAGTCACCGACCTGTCACATGGCTGTCACCGACCTGTCACATGGACGTCACCGACCTGTCACATGGCTGTCACCGACCTGTCCCAGGGTCGTCACCGACCTGTCTCATGGCCGCCACCGACCTGTCACATGGCTGCCACCAACCTGTCTCATAGCCGTCAGGAAACCCTGCGGGTTGAAGAAGCCCGTCATCCAGAACGCCTTGGGCCTGTCACCGAACAGCCAGACCTTGAACTGGCTGTCTCTCTCCAGCAGCTCGGTGAACCAGAAGCCCAGGGTGCTGGAGTCCCACGAGATCTGAAACGGAATTCGTTGGGGGTGAAAGACGGAAAGCTGTGCGAATACGTGTCAGCATGTCAGGCGACCGCGTCAGATGTCAAAATAACAATGCATCATCTCTGACGGTACGCAACTAAACACAACAAAGGGGGCCTACTGACAGGGATTATAACCACACGAACATCACGAAAACCTCAAATGAAAGCCCCAACTCAGCCCTCAGGAGCCATCGCTCGTGACCTGGACCACCGGCGGCTGGCGGACGTCACCTTATGCCACTTGGAGGGCACCCTGGCATCATACATGGCGTCCAGAGCCTCCCTCAGCGACTGGGACATGATGATGGTGCCCTCGATGGCCAGGCGCAGGTCCAGGACGGTCCGGCGCACCGCCGATATCACCTGGCGAATGGTGCAGGGTCAGTGGAACGAGTCACAAGAGCTTAGTCCCAATAAGCTGTGAACAATCACCAGCGAGGTCGATGAAAGTGACCTTATCTTCCATAAATGGGGCCTCTGAATAGAGCAGGTGCCTCCTAACCCAAAGCAGGAGCCTCCCAGCTTGTGACGGCGGCCTCTCGAGCCAGCGAAGGGGCCCTTTTTCTTGAAAACAAGGTCTACTTATCTAGAGCATGGGCTAACTCACTCGTAAAGGTGGCCTCTGGATACCGAAAACGGACCTCTTAATGTAGAAAAGGGTCTTCTGAGTCCAATTTATTGCTCTCTAGTTCACTTATGGGGCCTTCTTGACCTGGACTTTGATAATCTATGAATATCCACAATGCCTGTAGTTTGGGAGAAAAGAGTCTAACAAAATTCGAAGGGCAAAAACATACTCTTGCCCCCAGCTTGCCGCCAAGGAGGTAGGTGCCCCCGCGGCCCCCCCCCCCCCCCCCCCCTGCTGCGCCGCTCCTAGCTGCAGGCGACCCCTTCTCGAAGGTGACAAAGGTCGCGCTCTGTCAGCTCATCGAAAACCCTAATTCATGGGTCGGGTCGGGTCTGTATCATGTTGCGTACATTGGAAATTGCACTCCCCTTTGGGAGACCCCATTTTGCCCCGGAGGCCCCCTGAAAAATCTTGCCCCTACCTTAAAATCCGTAGCGCCATCCCGTCCTGGAGTAGGTGCCACAAAGAGTTCCTTGAATGGTGGCCAAGTGTAACCGGCACATAACACAACTCTGCTTTGTGTGGTGACCCTTTCGAATCCATGCCTTCGCTAACGTGACCAGTCGCTTTAAAGCTACGAACAAGTAAAATCCGGAAAATTTTCCACCTTTTACGAGAGCACGCAATGCTGTCTAAAGTGACAGATGTGCACTGAGAACTACTTGCATATTGTCGTAATACTTTGGTTTCAAGTCCAAAATTGGTTTAAAAATAGTTCCTGTTCTCAATTTTGTAATTCGTAAATCATTGTTCGTCATTTTGTAATTCGTCGGTTTCGCCGATTAAAGTTATCGGACCGAATCTGACTCTTAGCCCACCATTCTTCAAGCAATAACACTGATGAATCAATGCGTGGATCTGTGAACTTAAGCCTGTTGACTGATTGATCAAACCATCTGGTGTCAGTGACCAGCGGGTCTGGCCGGTGTCTGGGTACGTCAGCCCATGTTTTGACATCCTTCACATGGCGACAAGGGACACCTCCCGCGCCGAGAATCACCTCACTCATGCACGACGCGCCAGGTACCTTACTATTGACGCGCCATCACACGACAATACTGGGTACATATTGTGTGACATGCCGCAGCGCTGTCGCGGAAGCTCGGTGTCGCATGTCCCGGAGCTCAGTGTCGCGCATCCCGGGGCTCAGTGTGGCGCGTCCCGGAATTCAGTCTCACACGCCCCGGAGCTGACTGTCGCGCGTCCCGGAGCTGACTGTCGCGCGTCCCGGAACTCAGTGTCGCGCGTTCCGGAGCTCAGTGTCGAACGTCCCGGAACTCAGTGTCGAACGCCCCGGAACTCAGTGTTGAACGCCCCGGGACTCAGTGTCACGCATCCCGGAGTTCAGCGTCGTGCGTCCCACAGCTCATTGTCGCGCGTCCCGGAGCTCAGCGTCGCGCGTCTCAGAGCTCGGTGTCGGGCGTCCCGGAGCTCCGTGTCGCGCGTCCCGGGACTGTGTCGTGCGTCCTGAAACTGTGCCGCGCGTCCCGGAGCTCCGTGTCGCGCGTCCTGAAACTGTGCCGCGCGTCCCGGAGCTCCGTGTCGCGCGTCCCGGGACTGTGTCTCGCGTCCCGGAGCTCAGTGGCGTGCGTCCCGGAACTGGTGGGCGGTTAAGAAGCGCCGACGGGCTCGGCTACACAGCCGGCCTCGGACTTTACACTGCAAACACGTTACCACATGACTGGCGTGACCAAACAGCCACTTCGAAGCGGACGGGCGCCCCGGCAAATGCGCCACAGATGACTCTCGTTGCAGAGTGGACTCTGATATCACGTATCTAGATGCCGATATACTCTGCCCAAAGTGGTACATTCGAACCGAACTGCCTTGATATAACACTGGTCTGGTCATGTCGCATGTGGTGTTTATGCAAAGAATGTTAATTTCAGATGAGTTAGATGACATGCCTACAGTCCACAGAGCGCAGACCATCAGTGCAAGTGCACGCAGCGCGAGCCTCCCCTCCACGTGATCAGCAAGCTCCCCCATCATCACGCTGCTGCGCCCGACTCACCTGCTGTATTCGATCGATTTCCTGGCGCAGGAAGATGGTCATGGGCAGGAGCGCTCCCAGCGCCTGCAGTCTCTCTCGGACCTGCAGCGAGGCTAGACTGTGAAGCCGTTCAGGCCAGACCGGGCGGTGGCGCCGCCCGCCCAGCGAACATCGGCACCGCGAGCCATTCTGGTCCGTTAGGAGAAGTACAGCCAGCTCGATCTGCAACCTCGCTGGTAACACACGACATAACCGGTGAGCACTATGTCTTTGGTAATGTTCAAGTACTTATGGAACGCAGAATTTATTTCTGACAGAAATGAGAATGATCCAAAATAAACTGCATTGTATGGGTAGTGCGGCGAGACAAGTTTTGCATAGCTAGGACTCCGAATTTGCCTGTAAGGCGCACGTGTGCGGCTATCTTCTCCATAATCCTGCACAGCACCTCCGGGTTAAGTTCATGGATGACTTTTCGGGTCTGGACCTTTAACTGCATGTCCGATCCTTCTTACCAGCCATTTACATGAAGTATCTGTTTGATCAGACCCGTATGTCCTCTGTTGGTCGGAACTAGGGAGTGCAGGGTGGGATCATCTCTTGGGGTACAAACTGCGCGCTGGTCTCCTCAACAGGTGCAGCGTTCCCACGCATGTAACGTGTACTGGCGAGATATGACCGGAAGATACATCACCCATCACCGTAATGGGTAACAAAAGGTACAAAAACCACCCATATCCACTTTTGACAGTACATTGGCCCATCCACATTACTTCTGCTGGGTATGATCACCGGCTGGGTGCTCGTCCACGTGATCACCATCATCGCTATCATCCACGTGGGCTGATGGCGCGCCTCAATGGCGGCTTGCGTGGGTACGTGCTTCCTCCATTGGGTCCTACACCAAGGAGGATATCTCTTCCAGTGAGTGTGCAAAATCCCTGCCCACATTTGAGAGCCAGGAGAGGTGAAGTAAAGCTCGCCGTCCATCACGATGTCTTTGGTTTGTCTACTTGGACATCGACCGTCGGAACAAGTTACGGATACGGGTCTTCTGACAACTTCTTTGATCTACAGAAACTGGTGTTGTCTTTGCTCGCTTTCTGTACTTGAATCCCTCTTCTACTAGTATTTTCTTGACAAATCACCGCAATACGTGAAAATGCTTTGCTGGCATACGCAAGCAGCGGGCAGGCGTACTGTTCTTCATAGCAAGAGGGCAAAGAGATGACAGAGTCTTGCTCTTCACACAACTTGTCTAAAATTTATTCGCAGTCACATATGGCAAAAATCCTCATCTCACAGTGCATACAGTTTACAAACTTTGCCTTGGTAGGTCGAAACTTGTCTAAAAACATAGCACTCACCCGTTGCAAGCGTCCGTGATGGTGTTACCCTTATGGATGCCTTCAACTCGAGTAACCACATTTATTTTGTTTGGTCGCCCATCCCCAGCCTGTCTGACCCCTCCCCGAGGTTTTGCCACCCACCTCCAGTCCGTATGACCTCCAAGGCTTGGCCGCCCACCCCCAGCCTGTCTGACCTCCGAGGTTTGGCCGCCCACCTCCAGTCTGTCTGACCCTGCGAGGTTTGATTGCCCACCCCCAGCCTGTCTGACCTCCGAAGTTTGGCCGCCCACCCCCAGCCTGTCTGACCTCCGAGGTTTGGCCGCCCACTTCCAGTCTATCTGACCCTGCGAGGTTTGATCGCCCACCCCCAGTCTGTCTGACCTCCGAGGTTTGGCCGCCCACCTCCAGTCTGTCTAACCTCCGAGGTTTGGCCGCCCACCTCCAGCCTGTCTGACCTCCGAGGTTTGGCCCCCTACCCCCAATCTGTCTGACCCTGCGAGATTTGATCGCCCAATCCCAGTCTATCTGAACCCCGGAAGGCTTGACCCCACGCCGACAGTCTGAGACAACACTGACCTCGAAGCTGACGTAGTCGGCTGGCAGCTTGGCCAGCATGTCCTGGCAGAGCCGGTTGACCACGGCCTCCCTGGTCTCACCGCCCATGCTACCGCCCTCCTTCGGCTGGATGCTCAGAATCGTGTCCAGAATACTCTTAGCTGTGTTGATCTGGTAACTGTGACAATAGAGCACACCGATCACATGTCGTTTCTTTCTAAATGCGTCCTAACATTGTTCCAATGCAAACGTTTCTATTTAGTGGATTCGCTTACATTGCAGACAAACATTGAAACTTCACACCATTTACAAGGGGAATTCCTTGAACTGACAATGGTAATGCTAGCGCTGTACCCCTTTTGAATGGAGTGCTGAGAGAGGGGTTGATATAATCAAACGAGAGGAAGCATGCCGTACCAATTTGAGGAACCTCGCTCGTCTTGCGTGACCCACATTCCTCATCTGACCATTGCTCCGCGTCGGTGCAGTGTTCAGTGCAGTGCTCGGTGCAGTGCTCGGTGACGGCATGCTGGAAGGCGTCGGAAACTTGATCAGGCGTTGCAGTGCACATAACTTGAAACTTCTCAATTCAATGCAGTACTCTGCGCCATTCTTCGGTCGCTTTGGTGCGGTGCAGGCTCCAGCTTCATGCCTTGGTGCGTAGATCGCGGCTAGGTACTCTACCGATGCTTTGGTGCAGTGCTGACGCTGGGAGCCTCATCCTTTAGAACACCGTGGTCATTGCTAGTGACCACAAGTGGTGATAAGTGTCACTCCCCTCCCCTCGCGGCCCAGCACGCTGGGCCTTGGTGAGAGGGACTGGGCGTTGGAACGCAGGGGGAGGGGAAGAGGGGGGGGGGGGGGGGGGGGCGTCCGTCCGGCGCCGGGCACTGACGTGATGTCGGCGTTGGCGTGCAGACCAAACAGCTGCGGCGTGTCGGAGTCTGGCAGGCCGGCGATGTACTCCTGGTACTGGTGCAGGCCCCGCCCGCTCGGCACCCGGTAGTCCTGGTAGAAGGCGAAGTTGGGCCGCACCAGCCGCTCCGAGAACCACACGTGCGTGAAGGTGACCAGCAGCCGCTTGTCAAAGTCGTCGGTGACGCGGCCGCCGTATTGAACCTCGCCCAGCATGTAACAGATGGTCGGCCAGGAGACGCCCTGACCGGCAGCGGGGTCAGGCGGAGGCAGCATCACTGCAACCCACCCAGCATGTAACAGATGGTCGGCCAGGAGGCGTCCTGACCGGCAGCGAGGTTCAGGCGGAGGCCGCACCACTGCATCCCACCCAGCTTGTAGCAGATAGTCGGCCGGGTGACGCCCTGACTGGCAGCGAGGATCGGGCATGGCCTTTGAATATCTACATGTCCCAGAACCCCAGTCGCTAGCGCGTAGGGGCAATATACACGACCCGCGAGTGCTAAAAACCAAGAGAGAAGAGGAGAGGGAGAGGGAGAGGAATGGAGAGGGAGAGGGATAGGGAGAGGGAGAGGGAGAAAGGGAGAGGGAGAGGGGGGAGAGGGAGAGTGGAGAAGGGAGAGGGAGAAGAAGGTAAAGAGCGGAGAGAGAGAGAGAGAGAGAGAGATAGAGAGAGGAGAGAGAGAGAGAGAGAGGAGAGAGATGAGAGAGAGAGAGATAGAGAGAGAGAGAGAGAAGAGAGAAGAGAGAGAGAGAGAGAGAGAGAGAGAGAGAAGAGAGAGAAGAGAGAGAGAGAGAAGAGAGAGAGAGAGAGAGGGGCCGTGCGACAGTGGTAGCGACGCAGAATGGCGTACCACTGGCGGGAGGCGACAGCGCACAAGACAGGAGGAAACGTGTACAAGCGCGCACATGCGCGCTTGAGTACAGACAGGGCAGCAAAGATATACAAACATCGTTCTGGTGCAGGAAGGAAGATATTCGAGTCCAAAGTCCAGCTGTAGAAAGCCAGGCTACTCTCCGATTGGCACGGCACACCACCTAGCCGGAGGTCTGCTGCCGGACGTGACACCTGGCGAGTGAGGATAGAAAGAGGGCGCTGCCAGTCCAACACACCACGACTGTCAGCCCGGAGCCGGTCCCGCCGGGCAGAAGACACCCCGCTCTTCCAGGTGTTTGGCCGCAACTATAGCGAAGAACCGAAAGTACTGCAGAAAACAGCAATAACGGCTGGATGAAGAGCCCTTTAAATGAATTGCACTACATATTTGATCACTGACACGTAGACAGAAGTCCATTAACCGCTAAAAAGGGGAGTTAACCGTAGGGAGTTCATCCACCCAATGGCGACAGCGGTCCGTAATAAGCGTTGGCTGCTCTGGCGAAACATGCAATGTTTACACAGCTTCCTAGGGCAGGGCCTGACTGTTAACGGCCACCGAAAGTTAGAGCACTGCTATCTACGAAGTTGCGCAACGTACCTATCCAACAACTAACCGTTCCAGACTATTCATGAGTAAAACGCAAAAGCGCAACAACGTTGTGAGTTGAAAGGCAGAAAGCAAGAGCTCCGTATTTTCTCCGGTGCTCGTACGACATCTGTTGCCGTGCCGCAAAGCGAACTGGTGAACCTGTAATCTGACTTCCTAAGGTGGAGTCGTTGCGTCCGTCGACACCACGGGCCTGACGGACAGCAACCGTGCGTCGACTGGTGAAAATCCCACGATGGATCAATACTGGTGTGTAAAACAGTCAACTCCCATCATAGAAACCCTCACAGAGAACACTTCCATCCAATAGGATGGAAGCATTTCCGGCGTCACACGGTCGGTCAGCAGTGCCGTGCGCTACCTTTCTCGGATCCACGTCGTCCAGGTGGTTCTGCATGAACTGTATGCAGGCGTTGAGGTCAGCCTGGTTGAACTCATACGGCACGTTCCAGCCGAGCGGGCCGAACTTGCGCCGTTCCTGCAGGATTGTGTGGAGGAACACGACGCCGTACAGCAGGGCGGGCCACTGCGGCACCACCGTGTACTCCAGCAGGTCCTGGCTCATGTCGGCGTACGTGCGCCGCAGGCTGGCCCGCACTCCCTGCGGCGGCTCGTTGGTGAACTTGATCGACATCTGACGGCAGGCGCGGTCACGGAGAGGTCACGGTCACGTGCAGCAGATGACACACGGGTCACAGCGGGACCCACAGGTCACAGAGGGAAGACGGCAGGTGCGGAGGAGAGGCCCGGATCAGGAAGAAAGAGACAAAGGGCACACAGAACAGGCGCGAGCCACACACAGGGACATCAATCGGGGAGAGGGAGCGTGGTTCGTAGAGAGGAGGCCTAAATCGGAGAGAGAGGAGGCATGGACTGGAGAGAGAAGACAGAGTGAACATTGAGGAGCAGATACATGCGTTAAAAGGCAAGTGGTGGAAGCGCGAATCAATGACAAAACATGACTCGCGTTGAAAGGCGAGCGCTACGGACCAGGGTCATAGCCGGAACGCGCACCGCGCTAGGGTACGAAGACCATGAAGGAGCCGCACGCGTCAAGCAGGGGTGCACGACCGCGAGCTACGAGTGTCGCTCGGAGGCGCCCGCCGAGCCTCTCGGTCTTACCTGCAGCAGACTGATCGGGAAATGGGCGTGGTACTCGGTGGTGATCCACAGCCGGAACTGTGCGTGCACCAACTCCGTCTCCTGCACCAGTTCCATTGCCTGCCGCGCCGACACCAGTTACCACACGTAACCACGTGACACCGCAGCGCGGTGCGAGTTACCGCGACGCACCGTGACTGGACAAAACGGCTGGCTCGAGGCGACCGGGCGTGTTTCGCGGCGTTCGCGCCCATACATGAGGGGGCACATGTGAGGGACTTCTGTGTAATTCGCTGTCTGTAATCGCTGCATACTTCTCACAAACGGACACGAAATAATTTAGCATAGGTTGCAGCGAGCTGCCCTGTCAACCATTACACGTGACACCATATAGGCAAGCATACCACAACTGAGTGCGATCCCACGGGCCAAACGCCAGGCAGCTGCCTTCATGTCATTTGTTCGTAGGTCACGTTTCACGAGTTGGTCGGCGACCCCAAACGAGTCCGACCCGTCCGTAACCCAGCCCGACCCGTCCGTAACCCAGCCCGACCCGTCCGTAACCCGGCCCGACCCGTCCGTGACCCGGCCCGGCCCATCCGTGACTCGGCCCGGCTAGCTGGCACGCGGGTCCCGCGGCCGGCCGCCGATGTATCGATTCGGTTCGCTCGCAGAACGAACGTCCGTGCTGACGTGGCGTGTGAGCTCACAGAGCGAAGTCCGGTGCTCCAGTGGCGCAATCGGTTAGCGCACGGTACTTATACGACAGTACTGAGTCATGCCGGGGTTGTGAGTTCGAGCCTCACCTGGAGCAGGTTTTAAGCAATGAGGCCAATAGCTTCTCACGGTGTAGCAGCTTTGCTGACCTTGCAGCGACCTATTCGTATCGTGCCACGAAGATATCTGTTATCGGAACATCAACATACCGCCGGGTGATAGTCCGGCGAGTCGCCGTTTATCTAGAGCTATCGGTGCGGTTTTCCAACCTTACTGTTTACATAGCGTATGAGCTCCAGCCTTCTCCAGGTATTTCAAAGGACTAGTGGAACGAAGCGTCCAGCCAAACAGCTTGCATTGTCTGGCGTACAGCCATATATGTAACCCAGCCGTGAGTCTTCGGCAGCGCCGGCTTCGAACCGGCGAAATTGCGATTTATAAAGCGACACCCTTTCCCACACCAGGTCTTCCAAGTTGGGGTAGCATCCCCCACGAGGACACGAGAGTCTCAATGTGGAGAGACGTAGTCAAAGCACGTCTGAGTCGAAGATAACCGTCCAGGTAGCGTAAGCAGGCGAACAATATTTATTGTTTGGTTCAGTGGGGGGGGGGGGGGGAGGAGGGGGGTCATAACTCGATCCATCCTCAGGATCTAAAAACAGGTTAGGAACTGCATTACAATAAAAAGGCAACAGCCCACGCATTGGAAGCCCTTCGAGTTCTTTCCAAAATTGTTCGTTGAATGTCAGTGCGCGCAGCCTATTGGGGTGATGTTTGCGCTCGGTGTGCTCATGGGCTTCGCATATGTCAGTGTGCTATTGCCATGTGTGTGGCTTCCTAGATTGTTCGTACTTTCTGATGCGGCTACCTGTCGGTGATGATGATTCCGTCCTAAGCTGACCGGTGTCCTTCTGTCCGCACGTGCTTTGCCGTGCAAGGCAATATAATACGGCGAGCCGCCGGCGAGCGAGTCACGTCACACAGGCCCTACCAAGAAAATAATAGCAAATATCTGCATGCCGGAGATCCATTTCCGTTGTGGAATATCATGGGAAGACGAAACAGGCCATCCATTCGTCGAATAGACATTAGAGTCCAAGAATGCTATTTTCAGAAGCCGCCGCTTTCCGTAATCTACACGCTCTGACAATGACGTGCGACCAGCTCGTTGTGATATCTTTACAACTTACCGACCACCAGGCGCGCTTAGAACTACAGGCTCGGCAATCTCGTGCTGCCACTGTTACGGCGCTCGCCCCAGTGCAGCTGACCCCGCCCAGCTGTGCTCGATGTCACCCACGCTCTGCGGCAGGCACGCTGCGCCCCCAGGAGGCGCAAAACCAATAACACATTCCAACAGCGTCGACCGCCGACCGACCGCTGACGCCGGCAGGGGACGCGCCGCCGCGGACTGTGGACGCGGGAGGCGGGGCGGGGCGACGCGCACCTCATCGCAGAAGTGGAGCGACAGGTGGCAGTTCTGGAGCAGCACCCAGGCGCCGGACACCATGGAGCTGCTGATGAGCTGGCGGGCGTGCTCCTCCTGACCCTGGCCCATCGAGATGGAGGTGATACCTGGGCCGGCGGCGGGACGGTCAGGCGACGATCGGCCCCGGCCGGCGGTCAGGGGCGCCCCTCAGCGGACACCGTCCTCGCTCAGGACGAGCACAGCGCTCAGGCACGGGACACACATCCATGTGTAGTGAACTGAAAACGATCGAAAATAACTGGCACTTTTCTCTGTCTTTGGGCGGAAAATAACCGAGGCAAACGAGGACCTCCTAAAACCAATATAAATCAATCTCAGACTATGCGTTCAGGGTGAGCCCAACGCTGTTGCTGAGAGAAACGAGATCAGCGCTGCCCTTTAGGTCAGCTTCTGATCAGCTGGTGCAAAGCGACCCCCTGAACCAATCCCAAATACGCCTCACGCAAATCGATACAGCAAAAGGTCAGCTGGCTGCCTCCTGGCTAGTGTCTGGGCCGAGCCTCGACGCCACCCCGGCCACTCACTGATGCTCTTGGCCTTGGCCAGGTTGAAGATCTGTGACGAGGGATCCGCGCCCACGGACAGGAAGCAGATGAGCGGCGTACGCGGCTCCGACTCGGACCAGGTGGCGTCCAGGTCCAGCACCACCTCCTCTGAGAACCGGTCACCGAGCGCCGCTGCCGGCCACAAGGTCAGGCCAGGTCAGTTCAGGCCCGGTCCAGCACCGCCTCCTCTGAGGACCGGTGTTACAAAGCACCGCTGTCGGCAAAAAGGTTAGGCCAGGTCGGGTCAGGTCAGGTCAGGTCCAGCACTACCTTTTATGAGAATCAGCCACCGGGCGCCGCTGCCAATCACAAGGTCAGGCCAGGCCAGGTTAGGTCAGATCCAGCACCACCAACTGAGAGAACCAGTCCTCTGGAGCCGCTGCAGGCCACAGGCTTAGGTCACAACAGATCACGACAGGCCAGGCCAGATCAGCGTCAGCTTTTGACAGAACCGGGCGCCGGGTTCTGTGCCTTGCTTTCCAGCCTCCCTTGCCGCACAATATTGTGACTCTGCCAGAACATGCAGCAGTCATGTGGGTCCCAAACAGTGCAGCTTGCCTGAGAGACTCGCCAGCCGTCAGCCTCACGCCCGCTGGCCCAGGTCCGCCCGCGCCGGTCGGCCGACCGGGACACGCCACTGCCGCTGGGCTGCCGTGTGTGGCGCGGGGCGCGCGGAGACGGGGCGGGAGATTACTGCAGAGGTCTGTCTTCAGGGGACGGCGGGGCCTCCGCCCTGGACCCAGCGGGACGGGACGCCTACTGCTGCCGGGCTGCCGGCGCGGGGCGAACGGAGACGGGGCGGGGGATCTACCGCAGAGGTCTGTCTTCAGGGGACGGGCGGGACCTCCACCCTGGACCGGACCGAACGTCGCCCGCGCCACACCGGCCGACCGATATGCGTGATGGACGTCCGGAAGTGCGTGTCTGAGAGTGCGGGCGCACGTGCGGGCCGAGCGGCCCGCGGTCCGACTAACGAGCGCCCTTCACCGCTCGTTAGTCGTCCTGGCAAACAGGGCCATGTTGTGGCGCACACCGTAGTCAGTTCGCGTTTTCACGTATGGTCGGTGCTTGGTGCGTGAGCTTGATGATAACAGGCAGGGGCCGCAATGCTGTTTTCTTATGTTACTCTCGCAAACGCGGTCCCAATGAAAACATCGCTACGTATGCATGTATTAGACACGTCTAATAAGACGTATGCAGCTTCCGTTATTCCGTTTCAGGCCTTTTAATATCCATTCACCTCGAGCGGATTGTTTTGATTCCAGTCGACATTTCATGGGATAACCGTCATTAAAACGTTTTACATGTATGTGTCGTTTTAAGTAAGATAACCCGGTTGTACTACACCAAGAGATCATCATGAATACAACCTCTTATAGCCTGGACCACACGACTCTCTGAGCTTGAAGGCTCATGGAATAGATGGTTAGTCTGGTGATGGGGGACAGGGCCTTATCTTTTATTTCGAGCATAGTTATATGTAATATTATTAACAATGATGGCGCAGCGCGGACCTTTTTAAAGCTTACGACAGCATTCCGGACGGGACGTGAGGCTGAAATTAATAATTGGTTAAATGCTCTGCTAATGCTTGAGAAGAAAACACCGTTGATAGTCGCCAATACGCACAATAACCAAATCACGGATACATATTAACTAAAACAACCAGATGACTCAGATTACCTCGTTCAGGGTGTGATGCCATGCGCCATCTGGCACGGGAATCTTTCTGCCAGAACATTTTCATATGCGTGTTTGAAAAGCATACAGTGCGTATAAATCCCAGCATGCCCATTTTATTCTCGTCTTGCACGTTGATGAATATCTAACAAAGTGAACCAAATTTAAACCCTTCCTATGAAGTGAAGTGTCCGTCTGCAAATGTCCTAAGCCGCCTTATTCATGACATGTGGCGTGTATCAGACTCCGCTGGATCACCAATTCCAGTAAAACGAACAACAATGTCCTGCCTATCAACCAAATGGGGTTGGCCCTTACACCCGGCGACACTGCCTGGACAAAGGCGGCGCGCCTGTCGTACCGAGACAGTGCGGACAGACCATCACTCACACGCCACGCCGTCCCCGCCCCGACTCAGGGCGAGCTCAGGGCGTCCGTCTACGGTGGACAGGCGGTCCGCGGTCCCCCCAGCGCTGCCGGACCGCGGTCCGCTTCAGCTCAGGCCACGGGACGAAGGTGATGTAGCGGTCCGCGGTCCGCCAGCGCTGCTGGACCGCGGACCGCTCCGGCTCAGGTCACGACACGAGGGTGGTGCGGCGGTCCGCGGTCCCCCAGCGCTGCTGAACAGCGGACCGCTCCAACTCAGGTCACGGCATGAGGGTGGTGCGGCGGTTCGCGGTCCCCCAGCGCTGCCGGACCGCGGACCGCTCCAGCTCAGGTCACGGCCCGGGGGTGGTGCGGCGGTCCGCGGTCCCCCAGCGCTGCTGAACAGCGGACCGCTCCAACTCAGGTCACGGCCCGAGGGTGGTGCGGCGGCGCACCGGGGACGCTGTTGGTAGAAGTTGTATGCGCGTGTGGTGGGAATACTGACTAAGGGAAACGTCCAACATGCATTCGAACAGCCGACAAAATATTGCATCATTCACCCCAGCGTACCTAGCTGGACCAGGCGCCGACATTTCTGTGCGCCGGAAGTCAGGTATATCCAACAACAGCTTTACAATCGTGAGTACGTTGCCGAGAACAACACAAACATTGTGCCGGTTCGCGCGCGAAGATCGATCAGCCCGCCCGCCGCGCTCGCCATGACTGGTTGTCTGACGGCTGGCCGGCGTGGAGGCACCCACCGGCGAAATATGACTTGGCTTGGGAGAGGGTGCGGTCCGGGCACCACGAGCGGATCAGCAGCAGCTTTCGGAAGGGGTCCAAGGCCGTCCGAGTAGCCGTTGGGGATGCGCTCCTGCTCCGGGCGCGCCTTGTCGAACCAGGCGCGCCACTCCTTCTCGTTCCGTGTCACCTGCCCGATCGGGCGGCCGCGGTCGGCCGGTCAGCGTGCTGACGTCACTGCGGTGCCTCACCGCCCCGTCGGCAGGGACGGGGTCAGAGGTCGGGGGACGGATGGCTCGCCAGGCGGTTGCTGCTGTTAGGAGCCTCCGCCCGATGAGGTCAAGTTCTTATGGATCAGCTGGGATGTGATGGGGCTTGAGCAGTCTGCGTGGCAAGTGAGCCTTATCCAGCGTCGCGTCCAGAAACCGTGAATACTTAGGCGTCAAACAAACCATCCTGCTAACATAACGGACAACGTCGTTTTCAGCATAAAAACTCGCTGTGTCGGGAATCCACCAACTCCAGACAGTTCCTGCCTATTTCAATTGCCAACATCGGGACGATCCTGATGATAATGCAGACGGTAGTAACTGAATGGTGCCAAGAGCCGCCATTCCGTGCAGATTCAACACAGCGCCGACACGCAGAGAATGCACTCAGTGGCTGACATCTCCGACGGGGATTGTAATCACCGGAACCCGACAGCTTAGATTTGTAATAACACCAGAACAAAACGAGCCGGAAACTGGAGAGAGATGTTTTGCATTGAAAAGACCACAGAGCAGCTGTGAGAGTCCGGCTAACGCACCTGCAGCAGAAGCTCCTCGAACGGCTCCAGCTTGGACAGCTCCACCAAGTTGAGCCAGGTGATGTCGAGGATCCAGCGGCACGGTTTAGGCTGCACGGTCTTCAGATCCAGCGAGGCACCACCTGTCGGCAGTACCGACCACAGACACGTGACACGCGCAGCACGGGACCGCCACGCAGGCGCGCAAACATAATTATTTGTTGACGGCGCTGTCCTCCAAGGATGAGTCGTAAGACGCATCAGTTTGGACCGGATAAATGGTGACTGCTCCGTTCGTTACTGTTGCTGTTACTGGACTGAGTACGACATATGACGGTTGTTTTCGACAACATCTGTTCACTCTGCCCCAAGGATACCATATGTTCATGGAGGTCAGCGCATTCCGGAGCTATATTAGGGCGACACGAGCATCACGCCATTACAAACAAACAAACGCAGATCAAATCTAGCGGTCATGGTATTTGCGGGACTATTTTAAACGCAATCAAATGTCAGTCATGTCACGTCATTTGGGCTTTACGACGCACCCATCTGCTGAGGCTATATGGCGTCGCCTGCCTCTCACCCTGGCAGGAAGGGCGGGCACCACGGGGAATCGAACCCCATATCTCTGGTTTCCCAGACGCGCAGTGGTTAACGAATATCAGTCACTTCAGTATAATTATACGTTCACATAATCCCAACACCATATTTTTCAACGACAATTCTCAAAACGTGGACATTAAGCGAGCATCGCGTGCTGACCAGCTTGACCACCACTGCCGGTGTACACCCCAGGGCTGACCTTTGATGAAGGTCATGAACTCCGCGTGGCTGATGCGGCCAGCCTGCATGTCCACCTTCATGGCCAGCAGCAGCGTGAACAG